GAAAAATAGGCAACTGAAATGAATAGACACCTCTCAAAAGTAATCAAATGGCCAATAAATATACGAAAACAATGCTCATCATAGCTGGTTATCAGAGAAATGCAAATTAAAACTACACTGAGATACCATCTTACCCCAGGAAGAGCAGCTGTTATTAAAAAGAATCTAATAATAACAATTGTTGAGGAGGTAGGGAAAAAAAGAAACTCTACTGCATTGTTGATGGGAAGGTAAACTAGAGTAACCACTGGAAATCAGTGCAGAGGTTCCTCAGAAAACTAAATTTAGAAATTTTATTTCTAATTTCAAATTAATTTGACCCAGCTGTACCCCTTCTAGGTGTTTTCTCAAATGAATTAAAGTCATACAGGGATACATGCATACCAATGTTTAAAGCAGCACAGTTCACAATACTAGATCTTGGAAACAGTTTACATGTTCATCAACAGATAAATGGATAAGGAAAATGTGGTCTCTTTATACAATGGAGTACTATCTGTCATAGAAGAAACTGAGACATTTGTAGGTAAATGGATACAACTTGGAAACATAGTATGAAGTGAAATAAGTCAAACACACCAGCTCAAATATCTCATGGTTTCTCTTATATGAGAAATACACCACAAACACATACAGGGCAAAACAGAAGAGCAATGAGTAAGGAGTAGAGAGAAGTTCAAATACGTCCCCAACATGTGCTCTCTTCAGGACCTCATATACCAATACTTCCCCTAAATATAAATCCTGTTATTTTAAAAATATTCAATATTATGCTAACTGATTTCATTTATACTACTAGTTTATTTTAGTTCATTAAAAAGATATATTATTTGTTAGAATCTTTTAGATTATGTCATACTCTACTTTGAAGATACACAGTGTAATAACTATTGTTATTCTCTTATTGTTTGATTATGAAGGTTTTTTTTCCTTTCTTTTTGAACATTAAGTTTATTGGTACATTTTAGGTATAAATGATGAGCACTGTCATAAGGAATTGGCACCTGTGCATGATATATCTTCATTCTTTTTTCCCATTCCCCTCCCCTGCCCTCACCCTCTCTTCCCTTCCTTATTTACAAAAGCTTTGTTTCCACTTTTTCCTTTTTTCCCTTCCTTCCTTTCTCCCTCTCCCTTTCTAGTTCTCCTATAAAATAAAAAAGAATGTTAGAAAAAACATATAAAGTCATAAAATATGAACTGAATGTACTTGCTACTTTGATTTTATTTTTTCCCAGAAAAAATTTGAGAGTTTTATATTTCTATTTTGAATCCACAATTTAAGTGTGAAGGTCTAACTGCTTTATAAAATTTAAATTTATTTAACATTTAAATTTTGGAAAATAATGGTTGCTGTTTTATTTGAGCTTTACTTTTCTTCAAGTATAGTAAATATGGCATATGTCTAAGGGAGTCATTACTGTCATAACGAAGGATCTAATATTTGGCTATATACTTAATCAGTTTTCCTTAAAAAAAAGATTATAGGAAAATACACTTCATAAACAGAAACACAAAAAACATTAATAAAATGTTAGCAAGTTGAATGCTGTAATATGCAAAAAATGATAGTACATAATGACCAAGTAGGATTCATTCAGCAATGGAAGGTCAGCTTAACATTAAACCATGTAATTTTTTAAAAGAAAGGTTCTTAGTAATCTCAACAGATGGAGAAAAAGCATGACAAATTTTAACACACATTCATTAAAAAATTCTCAGAAACTAGAAATACTAGGGAACTTCCTCAATCTAATAATGAACATCTGTATTAAAAATAAAAAGTCAGCTACAGTTAACGTAATGAATAAACACTGAATGCCTTCTCCCTACAGTTAAGAACAAGACAAGAGTTTCCAACTCTCACCATTTCTATCCATAATATTCTTAGGAGCCTAATCCAAATTAAGAGGAAGAAATGGCACACTGATTGAAAAGGAATATAGAAAACTGTCCTACTCCCAGATTTTATGATGGATGGTCTGTCTGAACAGAAAAGTCTCAACTCTGCAAAATAGCAAATGGAACTTGAACAACTGGATTTATTAAGTACCTTGTTTCAAGGTCACAGGACACAAAGTCAATATAATTTTAAAAATTCAAATGATTTTCAATATACCAGCATTAATTTGAAAATACCATTCATAATAGTATTTGAGGAAGTGAAATGAACAGACACTTCTCAGAAATACTACCACAAATGGCCAATGAACACATGAAAAAAGTCCAACATCTGTGGCCATTAGAGAAATGCAACTTACAACAATGCTAAGATTTCATTTTACACCAGAAAGATGGAAATCAACAAGAAGTCAAAGAATAAGAAATGCGGGCATGGCTGCAGAGAAAAAGGCTGCTGATGGGAATGTACACTAGTGCAACTATTATGGAAAGCAGTTTAGAAATTCCATTTGACCTAGCTATTCTCCTTTTAGGTATCTTCCCAAAAGAGCTGATGACATCACATTATACCAATACATGCACACCAGTACTTATAGCAGCACGATTATTACAGCTAAATCCCAGACACAGCCTATATGCCTACTGACAGACAAATAGGTAAGAATATATGGTATCTACACATAATGGACTACTACTCAGATATAAAGGAAAACTTTGAGAATGGATGCATCTGAAAAATATAATGTTGAATGAAATAAATCACACAAGCTTAAATATCATATGGTATCTCTCATTTGAGCAAGGCAAAGTGCAAACAGAAAAATAAAGGATGGATAGACACAGACAAGGAGATAGATCTCTTGCAAATGGGAAGTGGTCCCCAAGACCAAAAGCAAGGGAAGGAGGCAAGGGGAAGTAAGATTTACAACATAACATGAATCGGTATCAAAGACCCACAATAAGGGTAAACACTGTGTGTCATAAACTGAGCTAAAAATAATAAATGAAAATGGGGAAAGAGAATTTACAGAAGGGAGGAGGGAGGTGGATAGGAAGAGAATTAAAAAAGAGAAAAAGAAAGACGTAAGGGATAAATTTAATATATGCAAGGTTTATGCTCTGAAACCTATAAAACTGCTGAATTTAAAAGCCTAAGTATCATGCTCTTGGATTAGCTAATTTCAACATTATAATGATGTGATTCCCCCCAAAATTTGTCTATATATTCCAATGCAATTCTAATCAAAAGTATAAGAGGCTTATTTTTGGTAGGAACTGACAAGCTGATTTATATCAAATTAAATGTATACAGAAAAGCAAAATCCTAGAAACAATTTTGAAGAACAAAGTTGCAAGATTCAATTATATAATTTCAAAGTACTATAAAGCTATAGGAATTAACACAGTATGCTATTGGCAAAATAACACACATAGATATCTAGATCAGAATAAAGTCTCAAATAGAATCACATATTTATTTGGTCAACAGATTTGATACAAAAGCATAACTAACTAAACCAAGAATGGCGGCACATGCCTGTAATCTTGGCCCTGCAGGAAGCTGAGAAAGGAGAGCACAAACTCAAGCCCAGCCTGAGCAGTTTAGCAAGATCCCATCTCAAAAAATTTAAAAAGGGTTGTAGCTCAGTGTGAAGGGCCCAGGTTCAATTCCCAGTACCCAAAACAAAAAAAGTACTTAAGTAATAGGAAGAAGCGAGTTTTTTCAACAAATAGTGCTGACACAATTGGTTGTCCATACGTAGAAAACTTTGATTCTTACCTGCTAAGAAACATTAACATAAATACTAATATAAATATTAACTTGAAATGGTAATAGATCTAAACGAAAAAAACTGAAACCATAAAGATTTTTGAAAGAGACAGGAAAAAGCTTTTGTGACTGGGATCCAGCAAAGATTAGGTAGGCAAAGACCATAAGCTAAAACTATGAATTACACTTCACCAAAATTAAAGACTTCTGCTCCGTAAAAAAGTAGTGAAAGAGTCAAACTGTAGATCAGAAAAACATCTGCAAAACACCTCCTTGGTAAAAGACAATACAAATGTTAACAAAGATGGAATGTAACTAAAACTCTCATGCATATCTCATGGGAAAATAGTCATTCACCCACACACTGGCAATTCATTATAAATGTGGAATTTCTGTGTCATCTAGTAGGCTCCTAAGTATTTACACAAGACTATGTCCATACAACGGCATGCACATGTTCAGGGTTTTCATCAGTAATAGTTCCAAACAGAAAAAGGCAAACACTAAGAGATAACTAATTGAGGTGTATCAATATGAAATATTTCTGAATTTTGAGAAAAAAGGAACAATTTAAACTTAGAGGACTCTCAGAGGCATCCTGCTAAATTAAATAATTCACATAAAATATTAGCTATTGCTCAATTCCATTAAAATGGAAAATAAAAAATACAAAAAGCAGTAGTAACTGTAACTGCAGCTGGCACGAGACGATAAAGTGGTATGAAGGACAGCGTGAAGATGATGGAAATGTTCTTCATTCTGATACTGATGACACAAATAGATTCATCAAAATTTAAATTTTTTTAACTTAAACTATTTTTGAAGTGGGTAAGTTTTACTACATTTGTGTAATTAAAATTAATTTTTCAGTTACAGACATAAGGTGCTTTTATGTTTTGAATTTCTGTGTGTTTATTCTGAGCTTCAATTAAAGTGCTGTCATGCAAATTTAACCAGGAATTCATCAGTTATATTCTACTAGTTTTTATGCAAAGTCCTTCAGGATGATAGTCACATAAAAATTCTAGGATTATGGTGCTAGGAACAACCAATCAGGTGGAGACATTCATGAAGTAACCTGCAAACATGCTGCTCTCACTTTGGTGAGACCGTGGAACTCAAGATACACCTGCAGAAAACAGTAGAAACTAGAGTTGACAACACTGTATTCTTTTCTCACCCACCTCTCGCTTCTTACTGAACAACAAAATCATAGAAAATCTTTAGCCCAATTTTTAAGAGTCAGCTTTTCCACCAGATAAGTGATAATATGACTTAACATATTTTCGGTAAACTGTATTTCTATCTCTAAACCCAAAGCGCTCACCTGGTGTAGTTTCTCAGTATGATTCAGCCTTGAAGTCCTCCCGGCACTGAATGTGGAAGTCTTCTCCATGTTCACTATTTGCTTTGGTGGTTCCGTGTTTGGAACGGGTTGTGAAAAACATGGCTTTGTAACTGAGAAGCCTGTGGAACACGGCCCTTGTTTCATTCTAAATGGCTGGGTGAAAATTTTACCTTTTGTGAATAACAGAAGAAGAAAAATTGTCACTACTAATTTCTAGCTTAATTTTTGGTGGTTACACTAACAGACTACTGACAATTAACTGCCTTCAACTCAGGAGTTAAAACAAAAGGAAATTTAAACAGAAAAAAGAAATAACAATAAAACTGTTTCAAAACAGGTGAGTAGGAAAGTAACAATCAATGCATTGTATATTGCTATATTCACAGTGGCTCAGAGTATAAGATTTAGGCATGAAACATTGTCCAGAAAATTACTAGTGCAAAACCTTCCCCTCAATGAACCAAGAAAAATCAGCTGTTAACTATCTTAACAGCTGATTGTGTATATTTATATATTTTTTTCCTTTTCCCTTTCTTTCAGTGTAAAAAAGAGAATTTCAAAGAGTTTAAAAAAAGACCCCAAATGCACACTAGATATTTTGAATAGGGAAGAAACTGCTTAAAAGAAAAGAAAAACTATGATGGAAGGAAGCTTATATTTTTATAGTAAGTAAATGAAACTTCCATACTTCTGTAAGTGATTGGTCACCCATAGAAGAAAAACACAAGACATAAGCATTTTACCAAAAGGTTGGAGCTATCTAAAACTCCACTAAAGATCACCTGCATATAATTACAGAAAGGCAGGATTTCATAGATAAACACTAAAAAGCTGTATCTCATGTAGGATACCAAAAAAAAAAATCTCCACTTGAGCAATATGATTAGAACTATGCTTATCAAACTGGATCATCACCTAGTAGTACGGCCTGACAGAAAGGTAAAACTACATAACAAAAGATATTACTCCACCTAGAGTTTAAATTTTTTCATTTAGATCTGTGGGAGGGAGGAATATCACCGGGTGTATTCTGTTTCAAATAAAAGATGTACCATTGACAATCACCATGGCCTACCTCTTTACGCCAAGACTAAGTACCAAATAGACCAATTAATTCCAAGGGATCTTTGAAAAGAGGGGGCATAGATGAAGAATATATGAGCAAGCCAATCACTGGGAAAGAATTATCTACCCCCACTATTCAAGTTGGCAAACATCTTTATACAACTCCACTTCTGTAGGTTTAATAGTGTGATTTGGTTTCCCTACATCTGAGTTCCTGAAGCACACTGAGAAGGTTGAAGACTAGACATGAAACACTCAGTAGCCTCCAGAGCTTTCTCCAACACATCACGTTTATGTTCTATTCAAACTACACTACCCACCAGTTTAAATACTGCTTTGTAAACTTGTGATACTTTCTCATAATTCACCTCAATTAATTTAAACATGGACTTAAAAAAAACAAAAATCACTGAAATAGGGATAAAAAGCTCAAAACTGATTGCCCTGCTGCGCAGTGTTTAAGCTCTATATTGTCGAGGGAGAAAGACAATCACACTAGTCCTGGATCTTTAGCCATCACTTATTACGAGCTTACTAGATGCCAGGCTCTCTACAGACTCCTTATATCTCATATAAGATTCTTAGCACAACTCCAGCAATCTCTATTTTAGAGATGATGAAACTAATGCTTACACAGTGTAGGTAATTTACTGATATCACTCAGCTTACACGTGATGGAGGCAGGTTAACAGACCCGTGGAGTTAAGCCATTACCTACCTCTGTATGTAATGACTTCTCCAATATTTGCTCATTCACAATACAGTTATTAATGCCAACTTGCTTACCTGTTGGCCACCTTCTATGTTTTTCCTCTGATACACTCTTCTTCAGCATCAATAAAGAACCTGCTCTGGTCTGCTCAACAGAAATAACATCTGAAGCTGCATTCAGCACTTCAAACATAGAGAGGAATCCATATTGCATATATTGGAATGATCGTCCAAATCGCTTGGCAAATGCCTTCTCAAAATCAGAAAGCAGAACAGGAGACAATGCCAAGAGGTCTTTTAACTCACTCTTCACAACGGCAGGAAGAATAGGTGGCACCCTTCCTCGGTAAGGCACTCGCCGAGAACTTGTCCCAGAGCAAATACTGGCTCTTGCCTTCTGCATGGAGTTTTGACCCTTATGGTTACTCCTCTGCTTTGCGACTAAACTCGCCATTCCTTTGGTGGATTCATCTGGAATGGCTAAGGAGATGGGGGAGAGGGATCACATTTAGATGAAAAACTCCCTTTATCTTTTGTACTTATGCTTAGACAATTCTTAACTCTACTAAGAGCTGTTTACCTAGGTTGAATGACAAAGTTAATAACTTTGGTTCCCCCATTTTTTACGTTCTGGGCAACAACTTGCTTGTTGCTCTATTGGAAAATGAAAGAACCCAATGGTTGACATCATTAACAATTACTGTAGCTCCTGAAAGACTTGAAATTCTTGGGATGAACAACAAGCTTTCCTACAATGATGTGTGTGTGCGTGCAGCCCACATGCAAGTACATTTTATGGAATTTGAAACAAGTTTTTGTAATTTAAAACCACTATTTGTTATGATACTCTGAACTTAAGGTGCAATAACCTGAAACCATGAAAATTCAGTTCTTATGAGTACAGCTTATTTTTGCTGTGGTGCTAGCACTTTCATCATCAAAGACCCTATAATTCCATCACTCCTCAAATTAAAATTTACTGCCTGGGATACACCATAACTGCAGAGCTCAAAGAATTCTTTACTAAATGATTAACTTTAATTACCAAGTTTAAAGGCCTTCAAAAATCTTAAACCTACCTTTCAGTATCACGGTACCATCCCCACAGGGGCAGACATTAACCACTTCAGGCATGTCTAACACTAGCTCCATGGTGGACCGGTAGCCGAGGATTCGGAGTGGTAGACGGTTGCCAACCATCAAAAGGTACTCTTTTTCCAACTGATGTGGTGTCAAACCATCTTTAGTGGAAATAAGAAGTGACCTTATTTCTTTCTTCAGACAGTCCTGTATACGCTCTTGTTCTGACATTGTATGCTACAAAATTTAAGACAAACATTGCCAATGAGAAAAGCAGAGAAATCCGTGAAATTAAAATGAGCTACACTTAATATAAACAATTAAAATGAGAATTTACAAACTGATAAAGCACACACAATACTGTGAAGGTGTTCTGGGATGTATGCACCCACCACCACCACTACCAGCATTGTTCAAAGTCCACATCTCAAACCTGATGATGAATTTACATGGGTCTCAAGAAACTGCTCTCCGCTAGCATGGAATATCCAGCTGAGCTCGTTTTATTAGCTGGGCAAAGCGGTAACTCGGTCTCTTTGGGAGTGCCAATATCCACTGCAAATTTTATCAAATGGATCTCAAGGACTCCTTGGGTACTACAGACCCACAAAGACGCTCCCGCCAGTATTTTTCTGTATCCAGAACCAACGGACACGCGAGGGGTGCACGCCCATAATCCAGCACTCGCGAGGCTGAAGCAAGAGGATCATTGCAAGTTCCAAACCAACCCGAGCTACAGAATGCCCTCCAGGCCGGCCTGAACTGCACAGGGAGACCCTGTCTCAAAAAAGACTAAACCACAACCAGCCGGACGGCTCCAGCCTCCTCTTACCTCGAGTCAACGACCTGCGCCACCAGCCCACGCAGCCGGGGTGGAGGGGCCTCCCCGCCCCCTCGTCCTTCACTGGCTCACTGGGGACTTGGCTTACATGCCCTACGGCTGTCCTTAAACTGGGGGGCAAACGACGGCAAGAGGCGGCACGAGGGGCGCCCCTCTAGGCCGGGTACCCCCTGAAGGGTTGCCTCCCCTTCCGTTGAGGCTGCAAAGCTAACTGGGTTGTGACCCCAGGCGAAGCCACCCCCTCCCCGCCCGCTGGGCGAGCGCGCGCATGCGCACCCGTCGGAAGGTGGCGGTCCCGCAGCGCGCAGCGTTCCAGCCCCGGCGCACGTGGCTGGAGGCCGTTGGGTCCGACGCAAGGCTCTGGGGCGGTTCTGGGGCGCTCCCCGCTCAGCTGGGCTCCGGGGCCGCATGGGCCGCTACTGGGGATCCCCCAGCCTACCTTCTCCGAAGAAGCTGCAAGTCAAGTCTCCAGAAGGGCCTCTGCAAGCACGTTGGGGCTCGGCCTGCGGCTGGCAGCGGGAGGCGAGGAGGACCTGCAGCCCCGCAGCCACAGCTGTGCGGTGTTGATCAGGGAGCTGCCCCCGCCTGAGGAGCCCAGATTCACAGGCAGTGGGGCTGGCCTTATTGGAAAACCTTCAGGCACTCCTGATTCTTGATTGAGAATCGCTGTTAAGTTAGGTACAACCCTGGTCTGGGAAGAGAGGAATGGGTGGAGCCTGGGGGGGTTTGGGTTTTGTTTTTTTAAATGAGTGAGCTGTTCAGGTTCACTGGGATAGGATTATGAAATTAAAAAGGAGAATGTACTTGTAGAATTGGTGGAATAAGATCTCAGAAAAATAGAATTCTAGTTTTAAGAGTTAGGAATTGACAAGAAAGAAAGACTACCTTATGATGTACAATCTAATTAAAGAAACACGGCGGACTGAGAAAGGAAGAGCCCCATTCCTCTAATGAAGTAATTTCTCTCCTTTGTTCTTCGGCTGCCTGCCATAGCCAACCGCCACTGGAGCAACCTCCCTCATTCTCTGGTGGGGTGGGGTTGAGGATCCAGGCACTCTTCCTTATGCTGCAGCTTTAGTCAAGCCTTTTGTTTTGAATGACATACTTGATTATTCGTGGTTTATAATTTGAATACGACAGGACAGGGTGAACTTGTACTTTACTGGCTGGGAGTAACAAAGACCACTGGTGCTAAAAGTGGCCAGCAGCTAGGGAATGGAAACCATGAGGGCAGCTAGCAAGAGGCCAGAGAAAAAGGGAGACCAATGGAGAACTGCTGGGAGTCGCCATCTTTGTTCTCCAGCAGAGTTCCTGAGGACTCTGGTTCCGACTGTCAGAAGATTGGCCACTAGCTCTGAGAGTTGAGGCTGGCATTCAAGTTCAAGGTTGTTAACTCTAAAGAAAGCTACACTTTGCCTGTTTCTGATTTATAGCTGAACTTAGCAAGAAAACCTTCAGCTGATTTGTATCAAAACTAAAGCGTAACCAAGGAATTTGGATTAAGAGAGACACCTGAGGACAAATGTGCTGCGTGCCTATAATCCCAGAACTCTGTGAAGCTGGAGAAGCATTGCAGGTTTGAGCCCAGGCTGGGAAACTTACTGAAACCCCTCAAAAAATAAAGGGGGGGGGGCTGGGGATTTAGCTTAGTGGCATAAACACCTGCCTTGCAAGCAGGCGGTCGTGAGTTCGATCCCTGGTACCGATAAAAAAATGAAAAAGACAAAAAAATAAAATAAAATAAAATAAAAGGGGGCTGGAGACCTCAGTGTGAAGGTTCTGGGTTCAACCCTGCCCAAAAACAAAACAAAACCCAAGCGAACCAAATATTCTATCAATGAGCTAGGACAATTGAATACTCCCTGAGAAAGAGAAAATAGATAAAAGATTTAAAGCCAGTTTGTAGTAAAATGGACGGGGCCAAGTAAGCAAATTAACAAAAGGAAAATGATAAGATAAAAGAGATGGAACCAGCATTGCAACATCTGAATGACAGATGTTATAGAAACAGAATGGTAGTGAGGACTGGGTCAGATAATGTCCCAGAATTGAGCCGAAATGCAAGTCTAAATTTTAAGAGCCCTTTGAGTTCTTAGGGTAATAAATTTAAAAAATGTTATTTCAGAAAAGGCCTAGAAAGAAACCAGATTCTTGTGTAGAACTAGGTCACCAATAAAGTAGGAAAATGGGGTTACCACTGGATTTCTCAGGAAAGCAGTATTTTCAAAGCTAAACCTGGAAGTTTTTACCCCAGCAAACTGGTATTGGGGGGAAATAAAATATTTTCAGATATTCACAGATTGAGAAAGTTTGTCTTGCCACTGAATGAGTTGAGAATGATTCCTGAAAAATGAACAATGAATAAATCATTCTGGATTCTCATCCCAAATTATCTGTAAAAAAAGATAACAGGTATCCAAGCACTTACTATGTACTCTTACAGATTACCTAATTTTCTCCCCAATAACTGAGATACATTTATAAATCGTATTTTATGTATATAGACATGAATAAGAATATGAATGATAGGCAATAAAATTTATGACTGAATCAAAAGCTTCTTGGTGTAAAATGTAAAACAAAAAGATTTTTTAAAAAGATATTTTGGAACTAAGTCCCAGATCAATAACTGCAAACCAAGTGTCAGGGACTGTTTGAAGCTGCTTCATTAAAGAGAACCAAACCCCATCTGGGAAAGTTACTCTGATTGGAATCATGGCCTATTGGGTTTACAGAGAAATTAATGGGAATGAGATGGGGTCTTTTTCTCCTCTGATAGTGACATCTCTGCAGGTCTCCAGGGATGAGGTATTGCTCTTAAGATGCTGTTCTGGCACCTCTCTTGGTGCTTTTTACCACAATATTGTTTCCTCTACCACTGAGTGTTCCAATGCAGAAATTCTGTCAATTGCCAAGATTATTTATTCCAACTATTCATTTGTTGAGTCTGTAACTGTAGGCAAATACACAGTCTCACCACTCCTACCTGAAAGTGAACTTGGACTCAAATTCACTTATCTAACACCTGTAAGTTCAAAATATTGATGCAAACAGTGATATTTTAGGTTCCAGAAATTAAAATCAGTAAGTGGTGGTCAATCAACAGTCCACGCACTTTTTTTTGTCCTGTATATTTAGTTGCCCATTAGAGATTACAAAGCCTTTGAGGAAAGTCTAAGAGTTTGCTCTGTCGGGTTCAGCATTTCTGAAGCATCCTTCCTCAAAATCCTTTGGGCTACAGTCAGAAAGCTGTGAATCTGGAATCTGATTTAGTGCTGAGAATAGGATAACAAGTCTCTCTGTCTCATAAGATCCCTCTGTTTCCCAGAACTAGAAATCTATTTTATTGGTTTGTTTATTGTTGATTCTCAAAAAAGACTTAGTGGTTTGTTTGTTTAGTTCATTCCTTGAGATCCTATAATCAATTAGCTGCAACCAGGAAACTAATGGACCAGTTTGTCCCTCACACCCAACTATTATGATGAACAATGCCTACTTTTCTTCTAGTAATTAACTGCCTTCTCCTAGCTTGCTAACATGTGGGGGTATATTTCAATTGCTGCTGCTTCTACCAGTAGTCTGGCTTTTCTAAGTTAGAAAAGAACTATCTGTGTCAATATGTGTTTAAAGTTTTTGGAGCTTGACTTTATGCCTTATAAACAAGGATGAGTGAATCTTTTGACAAACATAGGGAGTAAGATTTTGAAGCTCATGCTAGAATCAGTACAAAATGCCTGCCTCCCAAGTGTTTGAACACGATGTCCATTTGGGAGCCAGTTAATGCCATTATTTGCACCCATTTTCTAGAGCAGTTATTCCAAGCCTTTGATACTCCTCTGAGCTTCTTATCCACTCCTGCTCTACCACCCAAAGGTGACTTTGCTCCAGTCTCCAGTGCAAATGAAAGCTCTCATACATGACTCCCCTCATCTTCCAGCCCAAGCTTCTAAATTAGCCCTCTCACATATTTCCTTCTGGTCTCCTTGGGTAAGGGGGTCATACATCCTATTCATGATTCTATCCCTCAATACTTCTAGAACCATGAACCTTGTCCCTTGGGTTAATTATTACACAGTCCTGCTCAATATTTCTTTTCAGACTCCAGTCCTATAAAATAATGTGTTACGCTTTGATCTTTTTATCTTACACATGCATGGACACAGAGTGAGACAGGGTCAGGGAGAAGCAATCACTTCCCTTTACCTACATCATCCTCTAGCCTCCCCTTCATGGCCAAATCCTTGAAGAAATAGTCTACAAGTTTTTTCCACTTCAGATCCACAGTTGATGTAGTGTTCACTGATACAACATGCAAGAAATTATTATTACAAGCCATGTCAAAAGTACATTTGTTGATGAAAGAAAAGATAGATTGTTTAATTTCAACTGTTGTAAATTTTTAAGTGATTGTAAAAATGGTTTTAAAAGCTTTTTAGATTGTGCAACACATTTCTCATTGATTATAACAAATGTAAGCAGCTCATCATTAAAGACTTGATTAAAAATTTCATGTAGTCATTTCATACAAAATTTATACTTGATGAGATTCTATTTTAAATTTGAAAAGTATACTTTAAAAACCATGGTTATACATCAAAAATAAAAATTAAGGGTATAGCAGTGTTAGAGTACTTTCTTAGAATATATGAAGCCCTAAGTTCAAGTGCCAGGTACACACACACAAACACACATGTGCACACGTACATGTATGATTTTCTCACCAAGTCCTAAGTAGATGTCTTAAATTCCCTGTTCGTCCCTGTAGGCCATTCTAAAAGTATCATTTTCTATATTTGCAATAATTGGAAAAGATGGGCAACATTGTGGTATGATGTCATTATCTCCCCTCCCTGAGTACAGACCCTGAAATGGGTAAGAGACAAAATGCAGTAATCCAGTGATGGCAACAGATTTTAAACTCAAGTGTGTTGGAATTACAGCTGCCCCAAATCACCTTTCCATGTGATGTTCTCTTTTTCTGTCTCTCTCTCAAGGATCCAAAAGAAGACTTTTAGCCTCAGTCAGCAGCTGGTTGGTGAAAGATTCAGGATCTTGGCTATAGAAATACCATCTGTCCTGTGTGTTAAATATAATGTATGGTTTCTGTCTAGATATCCCTCCAAAGTTTCCAGGCTCATAGGTGAGGCTTTTGGGAGGTGGCTGGATCTAATATGTGTGATGCTGGGATTGATTCATGGTTTGATGCTAGATTAAGGTCACCCCACCCTGCTAGAGATGCTGTTAGCTAGCTCTACAACTGCAACTAAACTTATTGGCCCATTGAACTGCCTTAGTTGGACATCAGCCACATTCATTAGTCAGTTTGAAAGCCCTGAAAGTCAGCACCTTTTCCTCTGAACATAACCCATATCCTCTCACATCTGGATCACGAAGAATCTCCTCTCTGGCATGTTTGCCTCCATCTTCTCCCCATTTTAATTTACCTTCTGTTTCACAATATAACTCATCTAAATTGCAAATGTGATCATGTTATCCTTTGCTTAAAATGCTTCAATGCCTTCTTTCACCCAGATTCTTTTATATGAAGTAAAAGATTTTTGCATTTTTTGGTCTACCTATCACTGTTCTCCCCATTTGCCAATTTATCAAGTCACTGATTAACCTGCCATGTATGAAATGTTATCTTTGTTGCTGTTCCCTCTGACCAAAAGGCCCAGCTCTCAATGTCTACCCAAGAGTTAGCCCTCATCTCTTAATAAGTCTCAAACTGGAACTCCTCTAACTCCATCCAGGTAGAATAACTTCCTCCTTTGTGTCTTCACAGTTCTAGATAGATGACTGGTTCTCAGCCAGGGGTAATTTTGACACCACCAGACAATGGGCTATGTCTGGAGATAGTTTTGGTGGTCATTAACTTAGTGGTGAGGTGCTAGGCATTTAGTAGGTGGCATCCATGGATATCGCTAAAAATCCTGTAAGACATGGGAAATTCTACCCCTGACATGCAACTTCCTCCACACCAAAGAAGCATCTGGTCCAAAATGTCCACAGTGCGGAGGGTTAGAAACCATGATTCAGATCCTATCACAACATAGACAACATTTGATTGCCTTTATCTGTTTACATATATGTCTCTCCCAGCAGACTCTTAAGTTCTTTGATATACAGCATGTCCTACCTTCACACTTTTAGAAGTAAGCACTGCCTCTGTGGAATGAATAAATGAGAAAAAAGTTCTATATTGTCAGGTTGGATCTTGCTACATTATCTGACAAGCCAACAGCGCTTCTCCAGGAAAAATGAATGGGAACGTGAGAAGCTTGGGCTCGATACAGTTAAGGGAAGTGAATCTGCAGAGCAGCTGCAGTTATGACCAACTGCTCAGCCTTAGTATCAAGTCTGCTATCTCCTTTTAGCCTCCATTCCATAAGTCCTCAAGCTCATCAGACTTGAATTTCTCCCTCAGAAATATTTCCTGAATCCAGGTCACTCCTACTGCAAAATCCTCGGGTTGGACTGCCACCAACATCACTTTCCTAGAGCATTACTTGCTTCCCTTTTTGATCTCTCTGGCATCTTCAAATCGAGAAAGTAAAATTTAACAACTTCTTAGGGTTTCCAGCTATAAAATTATAAAATCTGCAACTTCATCTTGTGCCAACAAATTCTAGCTTATCTATTAAATAATCCATACAAATCAATATTCACCCCTTCGTTCTTCTATATGGATATAAATTTTCAAAGCACTACATCAGAATAAGTGCACTAATTTAGAATATATTTCAGTCTCGACCTTTCATCTTGAAAATAAACTCAAAAGTCATGGCAGTCTCTTAACTAACCAGATAAGGAGTAGTATATTAAAAGTTGTGCTTTCATTTAAAAAGGAATCTAAAAGAAAACAACAGCAATATTAGCAGAGCAGATGAGGCCAAGCAGCTGGCCTTGCGTGCCGACTCAGCCTTCCCTCCCGAACTCCTCCGCCTTCCAGAGATGCTGTGTTAGCCTTTTTACTATAAGATGTGATGCATTTTCTCAAATAGCATCATCATTATCTCTACCAGACTGTGTTGTACACAGGTGCTTGTATTGCTTTATATGGACATAGAAAATGATGCATGTGTACGTAACTTGTCAGCGGCAAAAAAGAACAAAGAGACTGTGAGCTACAAGTGCCCAGCGTGGGCCGCAACACCCACTAAGGTCTATTCACATTGGTGTTCCTCCGCCAAGAATTTCTTCACTTTATTGGGAAATAGTACAGTTGGAAAAATATTAGTTGGCCACAGATCATGCTCATTTTTGGATTAAAAACTTACAGTTTTGGTATAAATCTTTAGCTAGTGGTGTCGATCAAGTTGACTTGTGACAGAATCAAAATGAGAAAAAAATAAGTGATACAAATAGATTCACATGAGCTGGGAGTGTAACTCAGTAGTATAGTATTGCATTCACTTAGTGTATGTGAGGCCGTAGGCTTAAGGCCCAGCACATACACACACACACACACACACACACACACACACACACAGCATCATGCTTTTCCTAATAGTGAAATTTCTATGGTATTATAAAGAAACTGTGTTTAATAACAAATATTAGTAGTCATGGTTGGCTGATGCCTATAATCCCAGCACTTAGGGAGGCTCAGGCAGGAAGATGACAAGTGGTAAATTCAATCCCAGTCTGGGCAACTTAACAATTTAGTGACAGCTTGCCTCAAAATAAAACAGTGTTGGAGGTCTAGCTCAGTGGGAAGGCCCCGGGTTCAGTAGTTGCATTCCGAGTTTCCCTTTGTGGGCCAATTTTTCTCAGTGTAGGAGTGTAGACAGGAACTGTTAATTAAGGCAGGCACTTGAGAGAAAATGTTTGCCTTTCCTAATGTAACCCACAGTCATGTCCTGAGAGTTAAAACAAATTTATCTGTTTTTTGCAGTGCCAGTGGTCAAATCTAGGCTGTCTTCCTAGCCTTTCTTAATTTTTGAGAAAAGGTGTCATTAAGTTCCTAAGTTTCCTGGGCTGAGGTGGCAACTTGTGTCCTCTTGCCTTTGCCCAGGAAAAAAGGAAAGAAAGAAATTAGGATACTTTATTACTAAACATTTGATTATGTTATTTTCTATGATTTAACTTGGAACAGATGAGGAAAATGAGCAGAATTGTTTTTCTAAACTCATTCGAGTTAGTTCAGGTCCTCATTAATAAAGTTTTTGAGAGAAAATTTTGAGTTCACTATTGAAAAGCAAAAAGCAAGTGAACATTTTTTCTGCCATCATGATATCAGAGCTATTTGAGCAGAATCATAAATCTTTCTTGAAGCATTATCCAGGCCAAATGTTTATTCTGGAAAAAAAAACTCAAATTATTAATGTAGTAAGAGAGAATCAATCTACTAGATGTGTCAAGTTCCTCGGGAGCTGGGGAAGCTGCTCTTTAGTTGGCCACAGGAAACAGCCTGGCCAGTGAGCCTGCTAAAGTCAAATTCCTGCCTTCATAGAAGCATGGGAACATGTCCTGGGCCAGAACAAAAGTGACCCTTTCCTAAAAAGAGAAATTAAACAGATCCTATCTTCTCTATGATTCTTCAAGAAAGCGTTACAACATCGACAGCATTGAACATTAGTAAAAATAATGGAGAAGAGATCTCAAAGATTTTCTCCCTCCCTTTATAACATGTAAACACTGCCCCAGGAGGAGCGCGGCAACAGAAAAGGCGGGGCCGGCATATATATGTAGTGTGTGTGTGTGTGTGTGTGTGTGTGTGTGTGTGTGTGTGTGAGTGCTGGGTGTCCTTGGACAGACTCGAAGGAGGAAAGGCTCAGTTTGAGAGTAATGTTTAATTTTACCTTAGGGTCACCTTTGGTATCTTTCCAAGCTCGGTAGCATTACTCTAGGACCACAAGCCCTAGTTTGTGCCCTGTTCACAAAGCCGAGCGCCATCACACCTTCGGCAGTTTGAGGCCTCCGTGGGGTTTGCTGCAAGTACATCTTTTTCAGGGCCCAAATCTTCCCGTGTAGGAACACCTGGAAACAGCGCGGTGGAGCGGGGCTCTCGCGCTTGACTGGCGTTGCTAGAGCTGGGGGGTGGGGGGGTCCCCAGGGCTTGGCGGCCAGTGAGCCAGAGCCCCGCCCCTCGTCCTCCCGCCCTGCCTGGCCGGACGGCCTTTAGGGGCCCGGGGCTCCCCCACAGCACAGACGTCAGTCTGCTAGTCAGTCTGCAACCGTCTCTGCGGGAATCGCGCTCCGCTCCCGGACCGCAGCCCCGCGGTCCGAGGATGGAGAGGAAGGCGCGGAGCCCCTCCAGGGAGCGCCACCGGCGCGGCGGCCGGGCCTCCCCCGGGGAGAGCAGGAGGGCAAAGGCCGAGAGGAGCGGCAGGGGCCGCGGGCGCCGGGAGCCTGGGCCCGCGCTGCCCGGGTCCCCGCCGGCTGCGAGTCCCGCGCAGTCCCGAGCGCCCGCCGCCACCGTGGTGGACGTGGACGGGGTGCGGGGCTCGGGGGAGGAAGGCACCGAGGTGGTGGCGCTGCTGGAGAGTGAGCGCCCCGAGGAAGGTAAGGCGGGCAGGCCGGGCCCCCGAAGCTGCCTTCCGGGGGGCACCTAAAAGAGGCCAGATAAAGTGGGATGGATTGTCCAGCTGCGATTAAACCAGAGCAGACCGCTGGAAACTCTGATTCCGGGAAATACAAGGCATGAATTGGGAGCCCAGCAACTCCCCGGTGATGGAGAACGAAGTGCCGCAGCAGAAGAACAAAAGCAACGTCAACCAAGTGCCGCCCGCCACGGTGGAGGGAGTGTGGTGCTGGGCGGGGGCCAGTGAGCCCTCAAGTTGGTTTTTAGGGCCACCGTGGAGCATACAGACACCCAGTAGAAGCAAACATCTGTGACCTGGTGTCTCTGGGCAATTGTGTGGCTTCTTTTCCTCGTCATCCCATCCATCTGTCTTACCATCCTTCTTTAGAATGATCATTGTTTCTAAAAAACAGAGTGAGCAGGGTCAAGTGGAGAAGAGCCTGACCGGCCTTGAAAGTCCAGCCCACTGCCTGCTAGCCTGTGAGTCTAAAAAGACTCCCCTGGGGGCAAATTACCACAAAACCTGTAAAGCCTAAAATGAGATGAGTGTCCCAGAGCACTTTGCACAAAGCCTGGAGGGAAGAGTAGGCTTGATTCTTGCAAGCTTAAAGAGAAGGACATCGGATCTTGCAGAAAAAGGTATCCCTTTCTTAGGTAAAGTGACTCTTAGGAACACCTTTATTTAACTGTCTTTCTTACCATGACTGAAAGAAAAAGCAAAGCTCATTACACTTTAAACAATAGAATGGTGAGTGTTAATAGCATGTTCTGTTGCCTTTGCTGGCCATGAGATTTTAACATTTCCTAGTTACCAGCAATGTAATATATGCTGGATCATGGAAAGCTACAACTTAAGGAATATTCTGGCTGCAGGGATGTAGTTTAAATGGATCACGTTAAAACTGTTTTGCCTAAGTGATAAATCACTAGTCATTCAAGGGTTGCTGGGTTCCATGTTGACATCATGCTGAGGTTAGAGCATTTGTAACTGCCGTGTGTCAGTGGGGTAGGAGAGGGAGGGAGCTCCCATATGCAGAACCCTGTCTATACACCAAGTACACACTAGGTGTTTTACTGAATTAACTTGTTCTTATCACACCCTTATCATACATTAGCAAACATCCTCAGAGATTAAGTATCTTGCCCAAGACCTATAGGTGGGAAGCAGAAAGGCCAGAATTCCAGAATAAGACCAGCAGGCTGAAGGACCCGTCTTTACATGGGGCTCCCTCTGGTCTCTGATCATGGTCCCAGCCCTGCTGCCAACTAGCTGTGGCCTTGGGCAAGCAGCTTCCCCTTGTGGGCTTCAGTCTCTCTAGCTGCAAAGCGAATACAGCAGACATCCTAGCTCCGGGTGAGAAGTCACACTAAAGATGAGGCAGCCCTTGCCCAGGAGGTATCTGGCTCCCAAGGGCCATTCTGTCTTTCTCACCGAGCAGCACAGTCCACAAGGCAGGCTATATAGGACTTGGGTGTCTCTGAAAGGAGCATCACCTTACCAAAATGTTGGGATTCTCAGGCTACGTCTAAAGGCTCTTCCTGCTTTCACATTTAATGCTTCACTACTTGCTTAAAGCAAACAAACTACATATTCAAGCAACTCATCTCAAGACAGTAATGTTTTGTGGGCAGACCTTTGAGTTAGGTTTAAGTACAGAAATTGGTTTTCTATTCACATCCTTAATTCTGTATAAAGGAATTCTTGGGCCTTTCTTCCTTTATAAAATGTAATTTTGTTTATATATGCACTCATTTACTAATTAATAATTCCATTTATAAGCTAAAGATGGCAATAACACTATTGGTCACTGTTACTGAATAATATAACATTTAACAATGATGTTGATAAAACATTTCCCAAAGCAGATCCCATGAAAAATAAATTTCATAGAATATAAATAAGAAAACTTGTCAAAGATTTGAAAAACAGTAAAGTGTACAAAGCTAAGAATGCTTTTACTATGGGGATTCTTATAGCCTCCTGGGTTCATGAGCATTGGAATGCCAGATTTGGGATACGTTGCCCAGTGTTTTTTAAACCCCTTTGCCTGAGGAATTCTTCCCTTGTGGAGCAGTCTTCTGTGGAGTTAGTATTCTGTGGGATGGTCTTTGGGAACTGCCCATGCAACGACCTTTAGTGCTTATTTAGGTTTCGTGCTGGTGTGGCTTGTATATCATATCTGTCTTCTTTAAGTGATCTGCACATCGATTTGGTGATGTCTCTTCAGACAAAGAATTCATATTTTAAAAATCAAAACATTTGAGCAGGTGGAGCCGCAGGAAAAGCGCCCGCGCTGCGCGGCCAGAGCCCGCTTGCCCGCCTCGGCCTGGCGAGGAGGTCCCAGCGCGGGAAATCGCAGCGGCGGCGGCGCGGCGCGTCACCCGGCAGGACCCGCCAGGACTCGGCGGGCTGGGCGGCACCGCCCGCGGCGCGCAGCACGGCAGCTGAGCTCCCGCCAGGTGGCGGCGGAGGCGAAGGCAGCTGCACGCCGAGGGGGCGTCCGCCCACCTCTGCGCCGCGGCTAAGGTCCAGGTGCTGGACTCCACGCCCCAGCTGGAGTTCACCTTCGAGTGCATCAAGGGCCTGAGCGAAGACTTCGAGTGGAAAATATTCTAAGTGGGCTCTGCAGAAAGTGAATATGATTAGGTTTTAGACGGTCGCGTGGGCCCTGTTCCTGCAGGAAGGCGTATGTTTGCACCCCATCCAGGGTCAGTCCAGACGCAGATGCAGTTGGCGCCATTGTGCTAATTCCTTGCATCTGTTGAGGTGAAGCATTTATTACAGTTGGACTATTATGTAAATAATGAGTATACTGAGACAGAATTAAGAGAAAATCTACCACTAAAATCAGACTTTTCTAAGCTTCGAAGGAACATTTTGGCATCTAATCCCAGGGTTAGACGATTCCACATTATTTCCGAAAAACCGGAAGATACAGAGAGCAGTAATCCAAATCTACAGCCACCTCTGTCAACAGATATTTTACTTTCAGCGTTAAAGGGATGGGCCACAACAGAAAAACTGAATGTCACGTGAGAATCTCGCATGGACTGCATGTGGCCCCTTGTGACCCGTTTAGTACAAACTGAGCGATTAAAAACAGAACTATTTCCCTGAAATTCCATAAGTACATAGTCAAGAAACAATGTGAAGAATTTCATCCTGTAGAAAGTTGATAAGAAAACTAGTATTTGAGCAAATTGTGGAAAATAATTACAACCATTGTTAAGTAATTTTTTTCTCTAATGCATTATTTTATTTGTTCTGAAACTAATCTGATTAAAGTATATATATTATTTTCTTCTCCTTTACAAAAAATTCAAGAATCTTTTAACTACATTGTAAAGCCATTTAACCTCCTGGGCAGTAATCTTTCGACTGCTGTTTTACTCATTTGAACAAAGTTCACTTCTACTAGAAGGCTTCTTCCTGTGTGTGTGTGTGGGGGGGGGATAAAAACAAAAAATTTTGCAGGAACGCTGGTGTATGGCTATATTCCCAGCTGCTTCTACAGTTGAGGTACCAGGATTACAGGTTTGAGGTTAGCGTGGGCAAGTTAGCAGTTTATTGAGTCTTATCTCAAAGTAATTTTTTTTAAAGGGTTGGTTGTGTAACCCAGTGGCAGAGGACTTGCCCTGCGTGTATGAAGTCATGAGTTCCATCCCCAGACACTCTCACTACTTTGCCCAAGCTAGCCCCAAACTCCTGGGCCCAAGGGGTCCACCTGCCTCATTTTCTTAGTACCTGAGACTACAGGTGTATTTTATTGTATCTGGCTTTGCAAAGTTTTTAGGCATATCAATTAGTTATCCTTTTTTTCTCACCCTTTAAAAATAGTCTTTTACCAATTTCTAAATGTTGGTTGTCTTTTAATTCACTGTGAGATTTTATATATTGACAAATATATCCCTTTGGCCATGTTTCTAGTATCAGGAGATTAAAATTCTTGCAATTTCCATAATCCTTCCAAGTCAACATTTATTGAACATCCATATTGTGTGAGGCATCATCCTAGGCCTGGGGACCATTGTAGAAAAGCCCCCAAGAGCTTGTGTTCCTGGAGATGACCTTCCTTGATGCCATTTCATTTATCACTCAAATATCCTTGATGTTCTGCATCCCAGTTCCTTATCACTTTTTTTTTTTACAAATACTAATAGCATGTTATAACCACATAAGTGATTTTCAAAGACTAGAGACCAACACCGTAACCAAAGGAATTAATTCTAATAGTGGGATTTCAAACAGCAGGGCACCTAGTGAATGAGGAAGTTGTTTCATGGAAGAAAAGCTTCTGGACACTTTAGGTAGTAAAACCTGATACATGTGAAGCACAGTTCCTCATTTTTATCTGCATATATCATTTCATATGTACATCAGAATACAAGACTTAGCTCATGAGCTGGTCACTATGAGAGTGTAGAAGTGGGGAGACAGGGTTGAAGGAATCCTGCGCCCTGTGAAGGTCAACTCTGAACATGAAGTGAAGGAGACATAACTGCAACCCACGGGTGTTCTGGTCTAGTGTTCCCATGCCTTTGCAGGAGCCTGCAGCACCCCTGAAGGCCCACATGGGCCTTTGCACAGACGATACCCCTGGCCCTGTCAGCTTTCACTAGTCCAGTGCCTGACTCATTCTAACATTTCTAGCAATGTCTCCAATACCAAGGACTGAAAAGTGCTACTCAGGTAATCCTGTGAGGTTCCCATCTAATTCTTCTTTTCCTCGTTAGGTGCCAAGCCCTCAGGTTTAGGGGCCTGTGAGTGGCTTCTTGTCCTCGCCTCCCTTCTCTTCATCATCATGACTTTCCCTTTGTCCATCTGGTTCTGCATAAAGGTGAGTTTCCATGAGGACCAATAGCTAACTTCCTGGGGCCTCCCTGACTACATCAGGTACCATTTGGTACCTAGTTATCACACCACGTGGACTCCTCTTGGGGCCACTTACCCTCTTATTCTTTCAAGACCCAGCTTAAAAGTAATTGTGAAGCCTTCTTTGACTTCTGCACAGTGTTATTCCTTCCCTGTTCTCCCAGGTCATTCTGCTTTCACTGTATTGTAGCACGATATGTATGATATTTGTTTTTTTCTTAGTACATATTTACAGTACAGACATTCTTTTTTACAACAACCAGGTTCTACACCTGCGACTAGGCTGTAAATGAACTGGTCACTAAATGAGAACTGTATATAGTATATGCACTGCAATATTTGGAACAATGAAATGGTCTAAGGAAACTCGAACTTGGTGATTTTGCTTTTCTTTGCATCTCTTACGTGTTGCACTGTAACGTATAACAGAACATAAAACTACAGTACTGCACTGTACGGTGCAGGCAACAAAACTCACAGTGCTGTGTTGTTAAGCCATGATGCTCAATGGATTAGACACGTTAAATACATTTTCAACGTAGTAATATGTTCAGTTTACAGTGGACTCATCTCAATGTTATAAGTTGAGGAAAATCTTTATTTGGCTAGTTATTATTGAGCGGAGATTTTTTAAATGATTTTTTTTTATGGTACTGGGAATCAAACTCGGAACTTTACACTTTTCAGGCAGGTACTTGTGCCACTGAGCTGTATCCCCAGCCCTGAGGTTTTTAAAAATTTTTAAATTTTTTTAATGGACAGAGGATGAGGAAGGAACATTGACTTACCTATACTCACAAACCACTCCTTCATTCATTCATTATTTACTGAATATTTACTATAGATCAGGGGAAAAAAGATTAATTGTATACATCAAAGAGTTCACAGTTTTGTGGGGTGTACATATAGACAAATAGATCAAATAAATTAATGATAATCAATGGAACTCAGATTCTAATACTGGCCCAGAAAGTGAAGTTTATGTTTTAAAGATTATGCAGTGAATTTCCCATTCTTTTAATAGACAGAATACTCTACCCAGAGAGTTTCCTTTGTGTCACTTAAAAATATCTCTGCATTTTTAGGGCACACTCAGTTTTCAAGAGTCGTAAGAACAAATTAAAATCGGTTGGATCATTTTGAAGCAGGCTTTGAGGAAACTGAAATTTGTGGCATTAACAATTAAATAGCTAGTAAGTAATATGTAAGCTAATAATACAGAAGTCACTGAAAAATACAAGATTAAACATGCTCTGATAAGGTTTGAATTAAGGAATATTGGATGAACTAAAAATATTATTGTTTAGATAATTGTGAGCCTTCAATCAAAATTCTTTCCTTAAGCTCAAAAATTAACAGGGCCAGTAATATTTTCTTCAATTGATTTCTGAAATTCTATACTTACTAAATACAAATTTTATAGATTTTTAGAACATTAAATATGAATAGGAACTTGTTTTTAATTGTTGAAACAAAAAATTTCTGATCTCTAGCATCATTTTCATGCCAAGGTCTTTTAAGACTTTTTCTTTTTGGGAGTAATTTGAAAGTTTTACATTTTCCTTTAGGTTGTACAAGAGTATGAGAGAGTAATTATATTCCGACTGGGACATCTGCTTCCTGGAAGACCCAAAGGTCCTGGTAAGAAGCATCTACTCTTTAAAAAAGAACTATCTCCGCCTCCAAATTCATGGATTTTTAAAATCTGTGAAGCTTTATAATATGGACCTTATATGAAGTAACTTGATTTATGATAGTTTAAGACATTCTTCAGAGAGTGTTATTACCACAGATCGCAGGTGGCCACAAGTGGATGAGTAAGACTTAGTCTCTGACCTTAGAGTCCTTGAAACTCAGTGGAGATGATGTTTGGGCATCCAGCCTGATTATAGGGCATAGAGAGAGGTATGATGGGTCTAAATAGTTCAGAAAGTGGGATTTGGGGATAGAAGGCAGCCAGAAAAGCATGAGAAAGAGCAAAGGCCCATTGTGCATACAATGGAGACAGTCTGAGTTCTCAGAAGGCCTACAGAAACAAGTAGAGTGGAGACCAATGTAGAAGACATAAATCAGACTGGAAGATTCAGAAACCAGCAGATGGGTCCATAAAAAAGTAGAACTAGATTCTGAAGTTCCACATTGTGGACCATCTGGCTGTGGCCCTGTGCTCTGGAGCCTTCTCTGTTGCAGCCCAGAAGGGCCAGTAGCATCCACTTGTGTGTCTCTCCTAATTAGCAGTCTCTAGAATGCAGGAAATATTCAGCATGTGCCTATTAAATTCCACCAGTTTATTATTTTGCCTGTCTTTCAGGATTTGATCTGTCCCCTCATTTCTCAAATAGCTCAGTTTTTCTCTGAGAATTCACAGGGTGCTTCTTATATATATATTATACTCAAACCAGTCTCAGCCCCGAGCTCCAAGCTGCCTTATTATTCTAACTAGTCTGGACTTGGCTGCTGCCTAGGCAGATCCTAGGTTCTGTGAGATGCGGCTGCTTTCATGAAGGAAGCTACAGCATCCCAGGGAATATTGGGTTCTCAATACATCCATCTATAGATGCTTAGCATACACTGACCCGATGCACATTATTGGGAAGGTGAGGACTAATTGACCAGCCAGAAGGCTGGTATCATGATATTGTTATTCTGATTGCTGCTGGGGCTCACATGTTAAGAAAGTTTGACACAGAGGTACCTTCATAGATTAAAATCAATTTTACAGAGCGCCTACAAGGCCCTAAGTTAGATGGTAAGGCTAACAATACATATTATAGTATACATAGGGAACTCCTTCTGATGTAGAAACAGACATGAAATTGAAATCTGGAGGGGTCAAAAGCATGACTAAAGTGACCATAAAATCGAGTTTGCTGAGAATAATTTCTGTTTACACTTCTTGCCCTCAGTAAGTTTTAAGAAAACTCGTTTTTACCCTGACAAGGGTCCCAGTTTGAATAGCAGATTATATGGTAACCTTAACTACAACATCCCCAAAACAAAACAAAACAAAAATCACCTTAGGAGCAGAGGTGAGATTCCCAGTGATCTCTGTGTAATTGGAGGCTAAGAGAAGCAATATAATGGGCAGTTGAACCTGAAAAGCAGAGTCCATGTTTTCTCTTCACCTGTTTACTTCCTCTACCCTCTTTCTAGGTCTGTTCTTCTTTTTGCCGTGGCTAGATACTTACCACAAGGTTGACCTTCGTCTCCAGACCTTGGAGATCCCCTTTCACGAGGTACGTGAAATGGTAGCTTTGGCTTTCTCTCTACATTTTCCATGGGTGAGCTACCAACTCTAGCCCAGGGAAAATGTCTATGCTTAAAAATAGGGAAGAAAGGGGCTGGGGATTTAGCTCAGCAGCATAAGTGCCTGCCTTGCAAGCAGACAGTCGTGAGTTCGATCCCTGGTACCGATAAAAAACGAAAAAGACAAAAAAAAAATAGTTTTGAAGTCCTATATCTTTTACACTGATTTATTTTGATTGGTTATATTCTGTTTTATCCTCTTTAAAGTAAAAAAAAAAATTCTCTTTCACAAAATGTGCCAGGAAAGTTGTTTACCCATATGCCAGTGAATGAACCTAAATCTGTATCTTTTACCCTGTACTAAAATTAAAATAGATCAAAGACCTAGATATTAAAATAGAAACACTAAATCTTCTAGAAGATAAAAATAGGTGAAACTCTTGAAGACACAGACATAGGCAAAGACTTTCTTAATAGAACTCCAATGGCTGAAGAAATAACACCAAAATCAACAAATAGAATATATCAAAATAAAAAGTTTCTACATAGCAAAGAAAATGAGCAACAGAGTAAAGACACTACAAAATGAGACAAGAATTCTCTACCTTATCCTTGAATCGAAGACTAATATCTAGAGTATATAAATAACTCAAAATATAGGACTTCCCCATTAATAATGGGCAATTGAAATGAATACATACTTTTCAAAAGAAGAAGTACAAGTGGCCAATATACATGAAAATGTGCTCCACATTTTTGACATTAAAGAAATGAAAAAGCAATACCATGATTCCATCTTACTCCAGGAAGAATTAGCTGTCATCAGCAACTCAAAGGACAACAAATATTTGTGAGGTTGCGAGGAAAAAGAACGCTTCTACATTGTTGGTGGGAATATAAACTAACATAGCCCTGTGTAAATCAGTATGGAGATTCCAAACAGCTAATAATAAAAATTCCACTTGACCTAGCTATACCTTCTGTGTATCTTCTCAAAAAAATTAAGCACATCGTATCAGTGATAAATGCATCCCTATGATTTTAGCAGCACAATTCATAAAAGCTAAATTATGGAAGCAGCCTATATGCCCATGAACAGCTGAATGAAAGAGAACATGTACTTAACCATGAAGAAAATTAAATTTGAGTCATTGATAGGAAAATGGGTTGATCTTGAGATTATAATGCAAAGTGAAATAAATCAGACAAAGTTACATATCACATGGGTTTTCTTATGAGAAACCCAAATATAAATAAGTTAAAAAACAAAATAAAAGATAGATGATAGGAAACAGGGAGGTAAACCTTGCAGACATGGAAAAGGAATCTGGGGAGGGGGCAGGATACAGGGAGGGACTGGAAAGGAAAGTAAAAGTGATTAAGACTTGGTATGTTTATGTACCAGTTTCCCAAGATGAATGTAATTATTATGCATGACAAACATATACAATAAAAAAGAAAAATGTATGTTTTCAGTATTTGCTTTTTAAACATTTATCATAGTGATATATTTTAACAATTTAGCAGTAAGAATTATTGTTTGCAGTATTGCTTATTGGAATAAAACACTGGAAACAATTTACATCTTATTGACTTCAAAACATTACAAAATCAACAACAATTACCATAATGCCTCTCAGTGACCTCAAAATAGCTGCAAATAACCTTAGTAAAAATCAAACAACATAATAGAATAGAAAAAATTAAAATAAAACAATGAATGCAATAAAAGTCTTCAAAACAAGCCAATAGTAAATCCAAAATTGCTACCATAATATATCTTGATATCTTTGCAATATCTGCTCCTGCCATCAGATTTGACATAAACAAACAAAACAAAAGAGAATAGAACCCAACCCAACAAAATAATGGAAATGATACAGGATTTCTGAAACATGACCATAGGGAATCAACAATAGCTGCAACCCTTAGGAGATCCCCCCTAGATGTCCCTGTGTACCACTATCCTCTGAACCCATGATCAGACCACTGGCCCTAGACCTGCAGTGTTAGTGAATCACCAAAGCACCGCAGGCATCCAATTGCGTTTCACCTCCATAGCTATCATCACAGCCTGTGTTTCTCGGATAAGTTGGTCACTTAGGGCGGGTGAAGGGGGGCCGGGGGGGGGGGGCGGTGCGGTACTTCTTGTTTGTCAGGCTACACACCGGAAGGGGCTGGGTCTGTCTGTTCTAGTCTGGCAGGGGTCCATGCATGGCACTGGTTCCCAGACTGGGTGTGCTTGCTGGTGTGGCTTAGTTCTCTCTACCCACAGTCTGTGAATGGCGCTGACTCACCGGGAGAGACTGAGGTCTGTTTGTTCTGGTCAGGCGGTGGCCTGCGCATGCTGCTGGATCCCTAAAGAGAATACGTTTAGCCTATGTTTTTGTTCCCTTTGTCAGATGGCTGAAGGTACCTGGGTTTATATTTGTATCCTCTATTCTATTCCACTGACAAACATGTCTATTTGTGTGCCAGTACCATGCTGTATTTATTACAGTAGCTTTGCAATATAACTTGAGGTTCAGGATTGTAATTTCTGCTTTGCTCTTTTTGCTCAGAATTACTTTGGCTATTCAGGCTTTCTTTTAAATTTTAGTTCTTTTTCTATTTCTCTGAAGAATGCTGTTGATAATTAGAATTTCATAAAATCTGTATATCAATTTTGCTAAAAAAATATTTTTACTAAAGCAGCCCTTTTTCCAATACTGCCTAAGATCAACTGTTTCTTAATGTCCTCATCAGTCTCTTTTCTCAGAGTACTATGGTTTTTGTCTTAGAAGTTGTTCACTTTCTTGGTTAGGTTGGTTTTATGTGTTTAAAGTTTTGAAGCTCATGAATGGGATTGTTTTCCTGATTTCCTTTAAGGTGGGTTTATTGTTAGTGTAGAAGTACTCTATTGATTTTTGTGAATTGATTTTGTTTATTAGTTTTAGGAAGTATTCTGGTAAAATTTTTAGGGGTATTATATTTAAGGGATCATATTGTCTGCAAACAAGGATGGTTTGCTATCTTCCTTGTCTATTTATATCCCTTTTATATCTTTTTCTAGCTGGATTTCTCTAGCTAAGTTTGTAGTACTAATTTGAATAGGAGTGGTAAGAAGGGACATCCTTGTCTTATTCCTGATTTTAGAGGGAGTGAACATTTAGTATGATGTTGCCAGTGGGTTTACTGTAAGTGGCTTTTATCAGTTTGAGGTAAGATTCTTCTATTCTTATTTCCATCAGGGTTTACCATGAATGAATGTTGGATTTTTGTTAAAAACATTTTCTGCAGCTACTGAGGTAATAATGTGACTTTTTTCTTGTGTGGCATATTACACTTATTGTGTATGTTGAATCATCTGCATTGCTGGGATAGAGCAATGATATGTAATCTTTTCAATGATTTGTTGCAGTCTATTTACATGCATCTCACTAAGGAAGTTTGTGTATGTGCCTTAAGGGAATTGGCCTGTAATTTTCTTTTGTTGCCTATTCCTTGTCTAGGTTTGGCATCAGAATTCTAACTTCAAAGAATGAGTTCGGCAGTGCTGCCTCCCCTTCAGTTTCATGGAGGAGTTGTAGAGTGCTGGCGTTAGGTCTCCTCTGAAGTTTTGGTAAAATTCTGCAGTGAGTCCATCAGGCCCACTTTTCTCGGGTATCCAGGGTTTTGTTGCTGCTTTTATTTCATCGCATGAACATTTTTGTGAGGACTTTTGAGTTGCTTCACCAAATCATCCTCTAGCATGCACTCTAGTACGAGAATGTTTATTTCTTACCATATGTCTCTTTTACCAGATTTGTGTGCATCATTTCAGAAAGATCTAATATAAAATCAATGGAATGTGTTCATACAAAAATTATTCCTGATTTTTTTTACAAAAGTATTTAAAATAGGAATGATTCCTATAAATTGTGAATTCTTTAGTGTATGCAATAAAAAATCCATAATTTCCAAAAACATGTCTATTTTGAATACAGGATTGGCTAACCACTCTTTTTTTCCTTGTTATACTCCTCCTCTGAGAAGTTCACTTTGAAAACATTTAATTCCTTTAGTTCCACAGAGCAGCCCAAGAATTAAGCCTGCTCTCCAAACTTTCTTTCTGCCTAGGTTGTTACCAAAGACATGCTTATAATGGAGATAGATGCTGTCTGCTACTACCGAATGGAAAATGCCTCTCTTCTCCTAAGCAGTCTTGCTCATGTGTCCAAAGCTGTCCAATTTCTTGTGCAAACCACCATGAAGCGTCTCTTAGCACATCGATCACTCACAGAAATTCTTTTAGAGAGGAAGACCATTGCCCAAGACGTAAAGGTAATTGAATATTTTGAAAAATATCTCCTTTACTCATTTATTCACTGCAAAGTTATTTAATATTCCACTTGATGTGCATTTAACTGTTCAAAATATCATCCATTAAGGAGATTATAGCTAATTAGGAAGATCTGAATTGACCCTGAATCAAGTAGGGCTACTGGTCTAGTGCACAGATTTTACCCTCAACCCTACTCTAGTGATTGGTAGGTCCACCTCTATTATTTAAATTCATTATAAAATTCTCACAGTGTTGGGAGTGGCTGCTGGCGAGTGGTTGAGCTGGTGGGGATGGATGGAGGGGTTGGTGGTATGATGAGCCCGGTTCCTAGGAGCTTGCAGACTAGCTGGGGAAACAAGCATAGTATGCACCAAGTTAAGTAATGAGGATTCAAACAAGGCTTTCTGAAGTAATAGTTACAATGTTGCAAGTCTTTCATGATTAATTGCCTAATCATCTAGATTTGCTTTGGAATTAGAAGAGTAAAATCCTCCCAAGCAGCCTCATGTAGCCCACAGGCAGCAAGCTCAACCCACTCACCCATGACCAGGTGGGCTGAGAGACTGAGAGCACAGCAAGACTCCAGGCAGCTGGCCAGTCAAGGGGCAGCGCAAGCCCAGAATGAGTTATGAGGTTCTGAGTTAGAGGTGGAAGGATGACTTCAAATAGATGGACCCTAAGCATCAAAGGTGTTCATGAGTGTTCTTCATGGGACCCGAGCAGTCACTAAACTGAAAAATTGCAGTGTGCAAATATTAGAAAAGTAGAAATAGCATCTGGATGAAAAATGAAAAAAATTGGCAAAGTAGAAGCCAGAAAAAGAACAAGAGGAACACATGAAGTCACTGTCCTGGGAAGACTCTCCAGCTGTCCCTGCAGCCTCTCCCTTTTTTGTCCTCCTCTGAAGGACAAAGTCTAGACTCTTGTCTTTCAAGATTTCCCTTGTTACTCTGAATTATAATGAATGCATTTATATGTGTGTCTCCCAGATTATAATGACACCTTCCTGGCAGACACCATGTTTTATTTATCTGTTAGTCCTTAGCCCTGGCGTGGGGCTTGTCACGCAGCAAACAGTTGTTTGGATGAAGAAATGACCCAGCTGTTGTGTCCTCACCTTGCCAGGTTTCCTCCACTGAATCTAACTCTCTAAACTATATAGTGTTCACCCAGCATTCAGCACTTTTATGCTTCCAGGCCTCCCCTGAGCTGTTTCTCCTACATGAAATCCCTTTTTTCCCATAGGAAAAATACTATGTGTTCTTTAGGATGCCACCTCCTCTGCGGTGTATTTACCAACATTCCCTATTCTCAGCTGCCCCCACTATTTAGTCTTCTCAGACTATACCCTGAGAAATCATCAGAAAATAAAGAGAGAAGGGAACAGGCAGCATGGAAAGCGCCAGGCACTGCCCCTCCTCTGCAGAACCCACATTTCATCTCCTTCCCCATGCCCAACTTTAGCTTCAGAGGACAGAAAACATTGGGAAGTAGAGGGAATTGAGGCCACCGGAAGTAAGGAATGGAAAGCACCCTATAAGTGAGCCATTTGGCAGGGAGGCTAGAGTCTCTCTCTCTCTCTCTCTTTTTTCTCTCTCTCTCTGTAATAAATGCATTTTAAAGCATATTAACAAATACACCATCTACAGGATTAGTTTCCTATTGCTCCTATAATAAATCACCATAAACTTGGTATCTTAAAACAGTATGAGCTTATTCTTATAGTCCTGAAGCCGAGCCCAAATCCATCTCGGCAGGCTTCCATCAAGGCGTCAGCCGGCTTGACTGCTTCGGAAGGTTCTGAGACACAATTCTGATTCCTGCCTTTTTCGGCTTCTAGTGGCTGCCTACGTTCCTCAGCCCTCAGTGCACTTCTGTAAATTCTGCCTCTATCTTCACACCCCCTTCTTTTACCAAATCTGCCCCTGCTTCTCTCTTACAAGGCCACTTGTGGCTGTATTTAGTGCCTACCAGATAATCCAGAATAGTCTCCCCATCTCAAGATTCTTTGACTTAATCACAACTGCAGCATCCCTGTCGGGTAGCATTCTTAGGTCTTGGCGACTGGCATGTGGACATTGTTAGGGCCATTTTCATCCTATCACATCACTTTATTTCCACAAATAATTACCGAGCGGCCCTGTACAAGCTAACTCTGTGGCAGGCATCACGAAGCCTGACAAAGCCAAGCAGCAAGTACCGCCCCTGACAGGAGGCTTCTGTGTTACACTGGTGCACAGGCGGGCTCCACTCACGCCTGAGGGGCCCACTGACATCTGAACCCTTCCTTCCACAGGTTGCCTTGGATTCAGTGACCTGTATTTGGGGAATCAAAGTGGAGAGAATGGAAATGTGGGTAGGAAAACAACCAGGAAGAACACTTCAATAAAGGGAAATGTTTTTGTTTCATTTAAAATATTTCACTTTTGAAAAATCATTTTGAATGCTGTAGCCACAGTAGTACACATTTAGAATAAAGAGGAAAACCATCTACTATCTCATAGCCAAGATATACAATACATTGTCATATATGGGCAAATTACCCTCAAGGTTTTTTTCACAATGCATAAAAAACGTCAGATCTTTTTAAAAAGATAAAATCACATAAAATTGCTCATCATGGTGATGCACATCCAGCACTTGTGATTTCAAGGCCAGCCTGGGTTACTTAAGGACGTCAAGTCCAGTCTGGGCTACACAGTGAGTTCAAGACCAGCCTGAACTACATAGCCATACCCTATCTCAAAAAACACACACCAACAAAAAGTCACATAAAACTTACCACACTCATAGCTTTAAAGTGTATAGCTTCATGGTTTTAGTATATTACAAAGTACAACTGCCACTACCATCTAATTTCAGAATGTTTCCATCACTCTAGAAGGGAGCCTGCATTCATTGAGCAGGAGCTCTCCTTCCCCCTCTCACTCCTTACCCTCTGGTAAGCACTAATTTAAGTTTTTATTTCTATGCATCTGCCTCTTCTGGACATTTCACATGACTGGAATCATACAGTATGAGGCCTTTTGTCTGCAACCTTGCACTTAGCATAATGTTTTCAGGGTTCATTGATGGTGCAGCATATGTGTCAGTATTTCATTCATTTTTATAGTTAAATTGTATAAAGTTTTATTTATCCATTCAATAATTAGTTAGTTTCCTGGCTGTTATGGGTAATATTATAGTGAGCATTCACTTGCAAGTTTTTGTTTGAACATATTCATACTCATAGGCGGTATGTGAGAGTGAAATACCTGGATTATATGGCAACTCAAAACTTTTTGAAGAATTACTAAACTCTTTGCTGTATGTGTTTCTCACAGCCATAGAGTAGTAAGACACTTTTGCATCTTTTAGCAATCCACTAAGGTTTTTATTTGGCCAGTTTTATTCTTTAAAATCAATCCTTGTCTTTTATTAGTTGTATGGTTCTTCAAGGCTGGGTTTTCAGCGTCCAACTTAATAGCTAGAGATTAGATAAACCTCAAGTTGGAAAAATGATCACATATGAACTCAAAATGTGCTGTGTGTGTGAAGAGAACTCCGCAGCTCCCCTGCAGCATCAGTGGTGATCCCCACCTGCATCTGAAGTTCTGCTCCACTCCTGGGACACATAGCACATTCTATGAAATCGAAAGTGTACTCTTCAAGGGACATCGTAGAGAGGGCAGCAAGTGTGTAAGACCTGCTGCTAAGGTCACTGCTGCTGCTTCACACCCACCTTTTCTCTTTTTCAGTAAAGATGTGAGGTTGCCTGCTGGGCTTCAGCACTCGCTGGCTGTGGAAGCCGAAGCACAAAGACAGGCCAAAGTGCGGGTGAGCCAGCACCAAGCACTCAGAACTCCCATCAGCTGCACTTGGACGAACACCAGGGAAGCCGGGAAGGCCTGCCACCTGTGCAGAGCATTTCTCCTTTGCTTCCTTACCTTTGACTCGTCCAGATGCCGGGCAGAATCTGGCTTGGGGCCCACCACTCTATTAGAATCGGTCTTACACCCAGTGTCTAGCCACACCTCTTCCTCTCTGAAGCTGCTAACACCATCTATCTCCTTCTTGAATCTTGCTTTCACCCCCTCTCCTATCCCCGTTATCCTCTCTCGCAGTGGCATCCTTCCCTGGGTAATCTGAGTCACCCGTCACTTCTGGGTTAATCACCTGTAGGTCCCAGGCTTGTGTCCTTAGATCTGCACACCCATGAAAAGTGCCCGTTCCTCAATGCCAGGGAGCCCAAAGATCTAGCTGCCAGCATCTTCTAAGGAGTGGAGGGCAGGGAACACTGGAAAGAGGATAATGAGGAAAGAAAGGACGACTAACTACAGAAGAGCAGCAATGGCTTTGGAGCACTGAACGGAGAGAGGTCGTCCTTTCTGACTTTCAGAAGGCGTCTGGGTGGAAAGCTTGGTGCCTTCTCTTCTGAAATGCTTACTCTTTGTCCTGAACAAGCTGGAAATTGCCCTTCCATAATTCCAGGCCTTTACCTGGAATGCTGGCCAACTTTTCTTCTGCATGGCAAAAATCTTAATTTTTCAAGCCCATCAGACATTAATAACTTCCTTAACGCCTCATTTATTCTTGTCATGGCCCATAACAGCTTCCACCTTGATTAAGTGTGTCTGTCTCCCCTACCTCGCAAGCCTTCGGAACACGAGCTGACTCTGTCTCCTGTGCTCACAGTACTTGCCACCTATCGGATCCACAGTGCTTGTTCGCTGAAGCACACTGACGAGCGAGCCATTCAAACCTCCAGGGGACAGGGAGGCACAACTGCTTTGCTGTTCTCATCTGTTTTGTAGATGATAGCTGCAGAAGGGGAGAAGGCGGCCTCCGAGTCCCTCAGGATGGCAGCTGAGATTCTGTCAGGCACACCGGCTGCTGTTCAGCTTCGGTACCTCCACGCTCTCCAGTCCTTGTCCACAGAGAAGCCTTCCACTGTGGTTTTACCTTTGCCGTTTGACCTGCTCAATTTCCTGTCTCCCCCCAGCAATCGAACTCAAGGAAGCATCCCGCTCCCAAGTTCTGCCAAACCCATTGAGCCACTGAATCCCAAAAAGAAAGACTCTCCCATGTTATAGAGTAGATGAGCAAAGCATGATGTGACTGTAAGGGATCTGTCTCAGACAGTCTGTCCTCAGCGTCTGCCAAGCGGAATGTCCTTGGCATCCCTTATGTCACAATGGGAAGATGGTGAAATGGTGTGAGGAGGGACGTTACAGGTTTGGGTGGATCATCTTACAAAAGTCATTATGGGAAAGAGCCTCAGTATATGATCTAATGTGGAAAAGATTTGATTCTAAACATGGCTTTTTGACTCGTGAAGCCTTAGTTCAAATGTCTGTTTTACGGTAGTCTCTGGGCCCTCTGACAAGGTTTTTGCATCCCCCATAGCCTTTCTCTTGTCACACTCCCTCCTGACCCTTATTTAAAATTCCAGCTTTGCTCCACCTACATCTACCAGTTCTTTAAAGGAGCCGCTTACCCTCCACCCCCTCCACACTGGATCTTTTCGCCACCCTAGTTCCTCACACCTGCCTCTGATAGTTGCATGGTAGTGACACTTGGATGTTCCTGAGTAAATGGAAAAAAAAAGATATGCTTATGTTGGCGATAAAATTTATACCCAATTAAAAGAACTTAAAAGGAATTCTTTGTATGGAGATTCCTTTTTTAATAAAGAAATAAAAAGGTAAAAGTTACATATATTCTTTTTTTTTTTTGTACTGGGGATTGAACTCATGACCTTGCACTTGCTAGGCAGGGGCTTATGCTACTGGGCTAAATCCCAGCCCCATATATATTCTTTAAACTGAGGAAGAATCACTATAAATAGAAGGCTAAGAGTAATATATTTCAGTATAGAATTTACCAGATTGCATACTTCTTCTAACGGTATGATCTACGCATGCCCTGCAGTAGTCTTTTCCGCTTGCTCCTGACTGCTGCTACGGTGTTCTTCAGCTGTAGGTCTATTGGGACGATGAGCATTCCCGTGCCCTCTAAAACGCTGGCTTGTGCCTCAGTGCCTTTGCTCAGTAGAGGATGAGAATTAAGTAGAGGATGTAGAAGTTAAATCTTTGAAAGGGGTCATCAATTGCACTTCCAGATTTTTCTGAGCTTAGAGAAGCAGTATAGCAACATAGCTGAGGTCTCTATTATAAAGATATGACAAACAGCCCACAATCTCTTGTCAAGACAAACTGCTTTTTTGGAAGGTAAGTCATCCCCAGTCCCAAGCACAGCTAGACAGCCACCAGACTGTGGAGTGGACAAGGTAACAATGCTAATCCATCCCCCATTTTCCACTCTGGTCTTCCAAATAGTCAAACCTAGGCAAGGAAAAGGAAGAGACTGCCATCTCGCTGTACCTTGTTGCCCACCAAGAGGAGAAACTCTCTTCTGTACTGATTTTGTTGTCCTATGATCCTAAGTGCCTGTGTACTTTGAAACAAATGCTTGCAATGTCATGGGGGAATGAAACATAGAGGACCACATGTCCCAGTTCTAAAGTGGTTCTATTTAAATGAAGCTGGAAATGGTACTGGCAAAAAAACAGACTTGATGATCAACAGAACAGAAGATACAAAAACAACTCCAAGCACATTCAGCTACCTTATCTTTGTCAAAGTACAAACAGCAAATAATTATATGTCAAAAATGGTCAACATCACTGGCCATTCAAGAAACACAAAACAATACTGAGATTCTTTCTCACTCTAGTAAGAATGGCTACTATCAAGAAGTCAACCAGGGATAGAGAAGATGGTGGCTTGATAGGTAGCTGGGTGGAGAATCTCTCTGGGAAAACCACCTCAGATGCTGGAATTTGACAACATGGAGGGGACTGCACAAGGGGAGAGGGATTCTTGTGGCCTAGGAGGAAACTGAGGGAAAAAAAGGGGTGGAAGATGAAGGAAAAACGTGAGTAGAGGATGGAGCTGGACGCATTCATTGAGACTAGTCCTGCGCTGTGCAGGGCGCACCCTGGAGTCAGACAATTCATGGTTGCACTGAAGCCATGGCAGCTGACCTCGGGAGTTGATGAGTCCCGGGCCCTTGGCAAGAGGATGTGGTGTAACATGGACTGGAGCCAAAGTGGAGAGCTGCATTAATCCACAGTGAGCACTGGAAATTGGGTCCCGCAGTGGGTGTGGCTGGCTGGAAGACATTTTGGAGCTGGGCAGGACAGGCCTGAGACTGGTGCCCTGGTGGCATCAGTCAGCTTCCCCTGGCCCAGAGAGGACTGGTGGGGTCTGCTTGGGCTGAGTCATGCCCCTGGTTGGGAGCAAATAGCCAGGGACAAAACAGTTTTGACCCTGTGACATCCGCACAGCACAGCCTAAGTTGCTGAAGGCACTTGCCAGCTCCCTGGCTCAGAGAAGTGGAGCTAGCCCACAGTCCCTGCATGCACCTCATCCTCAGCAAACTGGAGCAGGCAGCAAAACCCCAGCCAGCATGCTTTAGAAAAACCAGAAGCAATATGGAGAGGGTCTGAGACCTCCACCACACACCTGTCTGAAAGAAACCAGAAACATGACAAGAGAAATAAGAAAAAACCTCCAGCCACTGACCTTGGGAAAATAAGTTCAGGAGAGGTAAATACAGAAGAGATCCAGTGCAGCAAACATGCAAAATTGGCCACAACATCAGCAGACATAAAGCAATACCTTCATGACCTCATAGATGAACTTAAAACTGAAATTCTAATCCAAGTGAGGCAAGTTATAAAAAGAATAACAAAAGAAATGCTAAGCCTCTCTCAAGAAGACACAGATGGAAGAATGGAGGAACCCAGAAAAGGAAGAGAAACCTTTGGTGAAGAATATAAACAAAATCTAGAATACATGAAACAGATCCAAAGAGATTACCAGGAAATTAAAAACTCCATTGAAAGTTGGCAAAATGCCTTGACAGAAACTAAAGTTAGCCTTTCAAAACTTGAAGATGGGGCTTTACAATGTGTGATTGTGAAAGAAACGACCTCTTAAAAACAACAAGGAACCAGGAAGTAACAATTTAAAGGCTACAAGACAGCAAGAGGATCTATAACTTAAGAATAAAAAACATAAGCTAAGAAGCAGGAGTAACCACAAATGAATTACAAAAGCTATTCACAGGAATAATTAAGGAAAATTTCCCAAGCAAAGGAAAAAAGAAATGATATCCAGATAAATGAGGCATACAGAACTCCAACCAACTCCAACCAAAACAGATCTACACCCAGACATATAATAATCAAGATCCCAGAGATTCACCACAAGAACAAAATATTAAAAGCAGTCAGAGAAAAGAAGCAGATCGCCTATAAAGGAAAATCCATCAAAATAATGACAGACTTCTCAACACAAACTATCCAATCAAGAAGAGCCTGGAGTGAAGTAGTCCAAGCCCTGAAAGAAAATAACCTCTAGGGGCTGGGGATTTAGCTCAGCGGCATAAGTGCCTGCCTTGCAAGCAGGCAGTCGTGAGTTCGATCCCTGGTACCGATAAAAAGCAAAAAGACAAAAAAAAAAAAAAAAAAGAAAATAACCTCTAACCCGGATTGATGTACCTTGAAAAACTCTCTCTCAAAATTAATGGAGAAACAAGATGTTTCCAAGACAAGGAGGAACTGTGGGAGTTCGTGGCCACCAATCCAACCCTACAAAAAATACTGAAAAGACATTCTAAAAAGAGATAGAAAAAAAATACCAGGATTCCAGCAACAGTGGCAGAGAGGCCTCAATGAACAGGGCAGACAGTAGAATGAAGGAGAAAAGTGGACAAATAATAGCAGAAAAATTGAATAGCAGAGATGAGGCAGAGAAGGTGGGCTATAATCTCTAATATACATGGCCTTGCCACACTAACAAAAAGAAACACAGGCAGAGTAGATTAGGAGGCAGGATCCATCGAGATGCTGTAAATAGGAAATATACTCAACCTGAAAGAGGGTTAATAAATTGAAAGTCAAAGATGAGAAAACGATGCTCTATTTGACAGGGAACCAGAGAGAAATAGAGACAACTCGTCCAGCAGCTGCAGATAGGTTGGAAAGTCACGACACTTTTGTGCAGTGGAGAACTACACAGCTATAAGGAAGGAAAACCTCGTGGCTTTAGTAAGTAAAGGAATACAGCTCAAGATCAAGCTCAGGGGTAAAAAGGTTCAATGCCACTTAGATAATGGGTTGCCCCCCAATCTAAAAACTAAAGGAGTTAGTGGGACCCAAAATATACAAAGCACCCTGAGATAAAGGGGAGGAATTACCTAAAAAAGGAAGGCAGAGGTAATTGTTAATAGTGTATCAGGATTTAAAAGCCACATTAGCCTTATCACTCTGTTTAGTTTGATTCTGTTTTGTTCCTGTCTGTCTACTCATGCTAGATTTGAGGGCACAGAAAGCTATCCCAAAAATAGCAGGATATACTATGGTAAATATCATTAATTCCCTATTAACTTAAACTGAAACCTGTATTACTTACATTGTCTTACTACGACTGATCTTATTTGAATCTGGTTTGTTAACCTCTGCTTTGTCTTGACTGATTTTATTCAATTTTGGTATGCTTGATAGTATCAAGTCTAAGATTAGTAGAGGCAACTACTCTGAAGATGACAAGATGTAATATCTATTCTGTTTTGATTATCAACTGCTTTTGAAGTCCTACAATGTCTCCAATGTTGTTTTTATTAAAATTGCTATGTAATGCTATGTTCAATTATATTATGTCTGATGATGTAGACAATTCTATTGAAAATAACAAGAGAAAGCATAGTAACTACTTTAGATGACCTAATATTGTGGTTTTATATGACTTTTGTTTCATGTTTTTCTAGGAATTTGTTTTGTTGTCTTGTTTTGATCTGTTTTTCCCTATAATACCGAAAGGATAGGTATACATGTAGAGATTCACACATGTGAAGAATCTCTAAACAGTTTACAGGAACAGATTATATAATGCACAATGTAATGAACAGATACTCTGAAGAAGAGACACTAAGATGCCCAGTGCTAATTCTATAGCATTATGATATAAAATCTAGCAATACTATTATTCACTGTTCAGAATGATATTAGTCTAGTCTCATGTTTAATTTCAGCATATGTAAAGATATGGACAGCTACTTCAAAGAGAATGAGAGACAATATAGCAGCCACTGTTGACATCCCTAATGTCAGGTCTTGAAGATCTCAAAAACCTTCATCATCCTGTTCTGATTAGATTAGTACTATAATGTTTAGTATGTATTCACTGTGTGTGAAGTTGGGGACAACTATTTGGAAGAAAATGAGACACAATATGATAGACAGTGAAGATCTCCAGTGGACTTGCTTTGAACCCCGTGTTTCTTAAAATTGTTTCCTTATGATCTGTTTTGTTCTGTTTTATTTAATCTTACCCTCTTTAAAATAAAAAGAAAGAAGTCAACCAATAACAAATGCTGGCAGGACTGTGGGGGGAAAGGAACTCTTTTTCATTGTTGGTGGGAGTGTAAGTTGGTACAACCAATATGCAAATCAGCATGGAGATTCCTCTAAAAAACAAACCTAGAGCTTCCATTTGAGCCAGCTATTTTCCTTTAGGCATCATACCACTGTGAGACATGCACATCCATGTTTACAACAGCATAATTTATAGTGGCTAAGTCTTGGAAACAGCCCATATGTCCTTCAACAGATGAATGGAAAAAGAAAATTTGGCATTTATATGTAGTGGAGTCCTACTCTGCCATAAGGAAGGACAAACAAGACATTTTTAAGGAAATGGATGCATCTCCAAACAATATTCTCAAGTAAAATAAATCAGACATACAAGCTTAAATATCACATTGTTTCTTCTATGTGAGAAACTCAAAATGTAAATAAGGAGCAAAATAGAGGACAAATATGGGGAAGAAAGAAGAACTTGTTCAAATACGAAGCAGAACAAGGGAGGGAGGAGGGGGGGAAGAAACGGAAAAGCGACAAATAAAGGTCAGTGAGAGGGAAAAAATGGAAAGAGGTTTTTTTTTTAACGAGGAAGGGTTGAAGGGAGGGGAGGGAAGTGGAAAATAAAAAAGAATTAAGATATGTTATTAAAAAAGGAAAAGGGGCCGGGGATAGAGCTCAGCAGCACAGTACTGCCCAGTAAGTGCGAAGTTGTGAGTTCGATTCCTGGTTAAAGAAAGAAGTAAGCTGTATTATGTACATTCATCATGTTCCCATGATGAATATGAACATTATGTACAGAAAAGATTTGCTAATAAAAATAAAGATATAAATAAGTAAATAAATAAGGCTGGGTACTCTGGAGTTAGGTGGTTTCTGAGGCTGAAGGAGTAAAATCCTGAGAATTCCAGGAGACGAATCCAAAGGAATACTAAACATGTGAAGCCAACAAGTACAGCACACTCACCACGAGTGTTTGGAGTGAGAGGGATGAAGCACAAGTCAGCAGCCCGGTGTAGGAAGCAGCCCGTGGTGAGGACTACCCAGCATCCCCTGTCGTTTATAACTTACCTTGAGGCTAGTCCATCTCTCCTGTCTCTATGGGCAGAGAATCATTAAGAGAACAGACATAGTAGGTAATAAAATTTTTTAAAAATGGAGATTTGGGGTGAGTCTTCAGCAAAACAGGCCCTGTGAAGGGAGCCATGTGAGCCGAGATCAAATACCCTTTGCCAATCCTTCTGATCTAGATGGGAGCCTAACGAGCTTGCACCAACTTCAGAAGTCTTCTAGCCATCCTGGGCCTCGGTTTCATTCTTCTGGAAAAGGTAAGACCAGTGTCTCCCTCACCTATTTGTAGGGTTATTGTGAAGATGATTATAGTAATCATAAGAATGTTTGACATCAGAAGAAGTCTGAAAATGGCTGCAGAAAACTAAAGGTATTATTTGGATCCTCACTTCTAAATTGAGAAAATGAAGCTTTTTATTTGCCAGTTTCTCTTCAGGGTTCAAAGTCTTCCAAAAGCACTATTTTCTAGATAGAAAACAACACTTTTCAGATATCTCAGGAAACCAATCAAAAGAGGCTAGCAAACCTTTCCATAAACTGTTTTTAATCTGAGAAGTAAACTACCACACTGAGTCCCTCAGCCATCGATGTGCTTTCTGAGACTAAATGCTCGTGGGTTGTACACCAAGGCCTTTCTAGCAGTTGTTGCAAAGTGAAATCTCCAAGTGAGGCATGTTGTCAGCTCCACAGCTCAGCGATGTCTGGCATGTGCAGGGGCACAGCCACTGTGAACCCCTGTGTCTACGGATGCTACTTGGGCTTGGGCTTGTTAATGGATTTAGTCCGGGTTTTGGACTTAACAGTGCGCGGTGCATCTAAAAAGACAAAAACAAGTAGAGTATTAAAGTAACAATATATTTACTAAGGGCTTTTCAGTTTGAAAAGCAGTTTTTAAATTCCATTTTGCTCGAGTAATCTCCATGTTATAAACAAGCTGTATGCTAAAAATCTGGCTCTGAAGTGGTTATTGCGATTTAGAATGCATTTTCCAAAGTTAAGTATGGTCAGTAATTTGCTTGAGTTCTAGGTGCCAGAGTAGGGCACTATGTAGCCAAGGAGCAAAGAAGAGAAGGGAGAATACTTCCTCCTTTCTCTTGTTCATACCTTGAGCTTGGTGGAAAAATATTGAAATAGTATTTACAGTCTTCCTTTGTACTGTAACCGTCTACCATCTCCCCACTCTTCTCCAGTCTCCTGAGCCAGACCTACCCAAGCCTCACCCCTGGAATGGGTGCCAGGGGCCAATGGCCATCAAGCCCACTCTTCCTAGCAGGATGTGAAAAGTGGCTCCCTGACACCCGGCTTCCCAATTTGAATCCTTCAGACGGCTGCTGCCATCTCCCTCCAGCCTCTCTGAGATTAAGGACTAGGTCATATTTATCTCTGTGAACTCCCTTTTCAATTCCTTTCTTTCCTCATAGCTCAGAGCACAGTGCTTTGCTAATTATTAAAAATATGGACATCAAAAGAAAAATAAATGTTCCTCTATTCTGTCCTGATCTCCTCTTAGATTTCACAGGCTCCTTACTTACCGTGGTATAATTCTCCATCCTTTCATGGCACAACCCTCAGGAAAACAGCGATTTCAGTGCACTGCACTAACTCTCACAAATGCTAGATTGCTCCAGAGTGTCTGTACTTCTTCAAGAGCTACCTGCTAACCCTCAGAAACGTCTGTCCTCTGGACATTCTGGTCACCCACGAGGCAAGTGGCTGCCTTGGTCTCCTGCCAGATCTCCCAAGCTTTGTGAAGCTTGTCATCCTCCACTTTAGGGACCTTAGCACTGTCCCTGATGGCAGTGCCTGGAAAGGGGGAGCAGAGTGATGTCTTTGCACAGGTTGGGGAATAACTATACAGTTACCTCTGCCTTACGTCAGTAGAACTTCTCAATTCTGGACTTAACCTAATCTTCAAGGACTTTACGGAAATGGGCACAATGAAAATTTCTCATTCCACATTAAAATAACCTCTCTAGTTTAACATAGGCTTTTTGTATGGTTTGCATATCTATCTTTCTAAATCTGGTAAAGGTCTAGTTTTTAAATTGTAGGGATAAATTTTTAATTTGTGTCAGATTGCCCTTCCCCTGAGCTGATCCAGAATTTAAGAGGATAAATTTTTTTTAAAGTTTTTGAAAAAATTATTTCACATATATTTTCAAAATCTAAAACTAACGGATTGTTATCCTAGGACTCAGTAACATTTTCACCAGTTCAGAGCTGACAGCAATAAAGAAATGAGCTCAAACTCTTCCTCTGAGCAGCACTGATGCCCCTGTATCTCAGGTCAGGGCTGAGGTTGGCCGAGTTCACTGCTCTTGCTGGAGGTGAGACAGGAAAACAGAAGGAGTTACAGTGTTTCCTCATTATTATCCTGCGCCAAGAGCAGTCCTTGGAACAGATCACAGGTTGGAGATTAAATAGAAACTCAAAAATTGTTTCCAACATTAGAGATATTGAGGATTGCTTGTAAGCAGATTAAAGAACCAATTAGAGCTATGAAAATTAAAACTTAAAATTCTCTTCCTGAAGAATTAAAGTAATTTTTTTAACCATAGAAAATCCAGCAAATACCAAAACAAAACAAAGACAGAATTCTCCATAAACTTCCATTACCCAAAGACAATGTCTGTAAATACTTGGTCAGGTTTCTTTCTGGTCATTTTACAAGCCTTAAATAAACTGTGTCATGTCCTATATCTTGCATATGACAATTTTGCATAAAATTCTCCACGTTCAGTTTGTCCCTCCTGTGAGTCAGCAGAAGCCGCGCTGGGTCTGGGAAGAGCCTTTCAAGAAGCAAGTTCGCCCTTCCAGTGAGCCATGTAAACCACGTGGGGCCCAGGAAGACAGAAGCCAGATTGCCTTCCCCATGAACCCGGTGCTGTGTGGCTGAGAATCAAGAGCTCCCCCACCCACACCCCCTGACCCCTGTAAGAACTGGCTGGTTCGGAGGACAGGCTGAAATGATAGCAACTGCGGTAACAAAAACAACTAAATGCTTGTATTGTTTGATTGACTTTGCAGGCCTGCGGCTGGTAGTCTGAGCATCTACTAGGAAGATGACAATGTACAATTCAGCAAATGTGGGGGATTTCCTTCTGTCTTGTTTTTAAAATCCAATATTGTTCTCACTGTTTTGTTGTGACTTATTGCTTTGTTTTATTCAATGTTCTGTTTTGGTTTTGTTCTGTTTTGTTTTATTTGATTCTACGGTGTCTGATGGAATGGACCACTACTGTGAAGGCAATAAAATATATTATGGTAACCAGTGTTGACTTCCTATTGTCCTGCTTTGAAGTCCTGTACCACTTTCACTGCCTTGTTTTTATTGGCTTTACTCTGTTTTGTTTTGTTGGGCTTATTCTCTTTAAAAAAATTCCCATATTACTACGAAGTCCTTATAAACACCATTTGAATAGTTGCATAATAGTTAACTATATTGGTATACCTTAATTTATTTAGTCTTTCTTCCATGATTAGAAAGATAGGCTGCTTCTATTTTCCCTATGATATATAGTAATGCATTGAACATCTTTTTACATTAATTTATTGCTTTTTATTAGTTTTCAGTGTTAAAGATCAATCCAGAGCCTCATTTGTGCTACGCAATCACAAAACCACTGAGCTATACTCTCAATTCCTGAATTCTCTCCCTTTTTCTCTCCCTCCCCCTCTTTCTTTCCTTCTCCCTTTCCTTTCTCTTTCCCTCTTCTCTCTCTCTCTCTCTCTCTCTCTCTCTCTCTGTCTCCCTGTCTGTGTCTGTGTCTGTGTCTGTGTCTGTGTCTGTGTCTGTCTCTGTCTCTGTCTCTGTCTCTCTTTCTCTCCCCTTCTGGGTCTTGTTATGTTGCCCAAGCATGATCCTGAGAACAGATCACAGGGTGGAGATGAAAGAGAACCTCAAAAATTGTCTCCAACATAGAAGATAATAATGATTGCTTATAAGCAGATTAAAGGACTAATTAGAGCTAAGAAAATTAGGATTTCAGTGTGAGCTCAAGGGATCCTCCTCCCTCAGCCTCCTGAATAGCTAGGACTATGGACATAGATCACCACATTCAGTTATTTTGCTAGACTAGATTCTCAAGAGTGAAATCATTAGATAGAAATATATACATGTTTTAAAGGAATAGCCATATATATTCTTAAGATTTATGTTTTCCTCCCTAAAGATATTATTTGTAAAATTATCTTGCAACTTCTGGTCAGCATTGTTTTCTTCCTAGCAGCTTTTAAGTAAAAAAAAAACTACCAATTTTTAAAGTAAAAATTATATTTTGTGTTGGTTTACTTGGCCACTATTGTTATTTCTTGTTTTATTGCACGTGGAGGGGGTCTGGGTGTGATAAAGTATGTGCACACTATGAGAAGTACAAACCAGTGCATCAGCTCCAAAGATACTGATGTTCTTTTAAAATACTTGTGACCAAATCAAGGTTTGTTTTTAAATATAACCCAAATAAAGCAAAATGGGAAAGCGAGTTTTACCTTTCTTTCGAGACTTTACGGCAGTTTCGACCGGCTTGTCTCCTTCCTCCTCCTCCTCCTCCTCCTCTTTGTCTTCTTTCTCCTCCTCTATTTTTTCTTCTTCAATTTCCTCTTCTTTTCCAGACTCCTGTCTCTGCTTACTGACTATTTCCTCCAGCTCCTTCTCCAGGTCTTTATTTCTTATGAGCGTATAATGAAGCTTTTCATTTACAGCCTCAAACCTCTCCTCCGCCCTTCTGGCTCTGCTTTCAATCTCCCTGATGTAGCAAAGTCCGGAGGAACACAAGAAAATAGTCAGGGACCCTCGTTCAGGAGTTCACTTTGGTTTCATGTGATCCAATAAACTAAGTCCAACAGTTTCCCTTATTTTTTAGTGTCTCTCAAGCTAGATTTTAATCAAGACAACCAGTTTGAGATATTCTCCTTACTTACTAAAGCATGTTATATACATTTATGCCCATGTTTATTTCTTTCACCTCCTCAGCCATGTTAACTGTAGTGTCTGTCCTACTCTTTGAGAAGAATGTTGTTTATGCAACATTCATTCTTAAGCACACTAATTTCCCCACTTCTATTTTTTTCTTTAAGTCATGTGTTTAAAAAAAAACACTAAATTGAATCACTCCTAATACTTTCTCTCTCTCTCTCTCTCTCTCTCTCTCTCTCTCTCTCTCTCTCACACACACACACACACACACACACACACACACACAGAAGTTTACTGCTTCCAGAAGATTTGGAGATTTTCATCCCTTACTGAGTATAATGCAAGCAAGACAGCTCAAGAAAGGTAAGCAAAGAAATGTGGATTTCTCACAAATCTGCTGACCAACAGTCTTCATCCTCTTTATCATTGTGATACTTCGTACTCACATTAATTTTTCCTGCATATATTCAATTACAGTCATTGCTTCCTGATACTTTTGAGTCATTGTGCTTTGGTGAGGCGATTCTCTCTGATAAAAGAAATATGTAATACAAATGAATTAAGAGTCCCAACAGGTAATGAATGCTCTACTTCCTCAGGATGTTCAAGATCAAGTCTTCTACGATATTCTTTATATTTATCTAGTAGATGATTAAAAATATCTTTAATGCCAAAAATAGGGATTGCCTATAGCCAAATATCTTAGCAACTTCCAAATGGTTCACAGTACATATGGACATGAATTTCATTACTTCCCCAAGCATATGATGTTGCAAAGTCAAATAAGATTTTTTAATTCCTTAAGAAACGTCATAAAAATCAGCTAAAGTTATAAATCTTGCCAGGCAGAGAAATTTTGAAAAAATAGAATCACTTCTTTATTTTGAATCTAGATATATTACTGAAATCAAAATACAAGGAAGGCTGGAGAAGACAGAAGAAAAAAATTATAAAGCATACTTTCAAGTGAATATTGCATTTCCTAGGAAGTATGTACTCATAAAAATCCCATTTAGCTGTGAATCCCAATCAATGGCAGGTAAATCCCACATCATAGATAGAAAGAAATATTTGAGTATAGATGTTATCATTTAGGTCTAAAATATCCTCCAAAAGTCTCATCTGTTTGGATTAAGACCATAAAGAAACTGCACTTGGAGGTGGATTCATCTGCTAAGGAGTTTGTAGTGCAGAGCACAGTGATAAGTCGGGGCGCAGGAGGCCTGGGCTGGGTGTGCGCTTGCCCCAGCTCCTCCTTCCTCTCTCTGCTCCCTGGCTGCCAGGGTGGTGAGCAGCATTTCCTTCCCAGACCCTTCCACCACTGCCATTTCTGCCTTGCAGCTAGCAGGCTTCGTACTGAACACACTGCAGACCACGAGCCAAATAATTCTCTCCTCTTTTAAGTTGTAGGTGCTGGATATGTTATCCCAGAAATAGTAAAGTGACTAGTACACTAGACAACTTTCTGTAATGACACCATGATTAATGAGATGAGGTGAAAACCCTTCTCTAGGCCTCTCATCCTTAATCACACATGCCATCACCCTGTGCTACCTTTTGTCTTAAACCAGAGAAAAGAAACTTTTTCAAGCTCTTTAACTTTTATTTGGCCACTCTACTCTTTTCTTTTCTCTGTCACATATTTTATTTTTTCTTTCTGTTTTGCTGCCCTTTCTTGGGTAATGTTTGGAAAGTAAACATAGTAGTTCCTCCTTATACATGACTTCACTTTCTGCAGTTCCAGTTACCCATGATCAAACATAGTCTGAAAATATCACAGGAACCATTTCAGAGATAAACAATTCACAAGTTTAAATTGGACAGTGTTTTGAGTAGTGACCATCCTGGTCTCTTTCACCACGTGTGAGATTATCTATTTGTCCAACGTATCCCTGCTACCTATGCTACCCACCTTAGTAGCTCTCTTGGCTATCAGATTGGCTGTTATAGTATCACAATACTTGTACAGGTACTGTTCTCCACCCCCTTCAACAACAACAAAAAAAAACACCTCATGTATTGAAGGTTTGGTCCCCACTTGTCAGTGCTAATGGGAGGATGTAGAATTTTCAGAAGCTAGGGACTAATGGAAGGAAGTTAGGTCACTGGGCCACGCCCTTAGAGTACATACTGACAGCCCAGTCCCTCTTATCTCCTTTTTTCCCCTGGATGCCTTGAGGTAAACAGTTTGCTCCCTACCATAATATTCTGCCTCACCAAAGGCCCAAAGACAATAGGCTCAGCTGATCACTGATGGAAACCGTAAACCAAAGAAAATCTTTCCTTCTTTAAGTTGTTTGTCTCAGTGGACCTCCACTGGACTAGAACAGACAGACCCCAGCCCCTTCTGGTGCACAGGCTGGCAAACAAGAAGTACCATCTCCCCCATCCCCTACCCACCTTGTAAGTGACTGGATTATCCAGAGAAACTTAGGCTGTGATGATAGCTATGGAAGTGAAATGCAATTGGATGTCTGTAGTGCTTTGGTATTTCATTAGCATTGCAGGTCTAGGGGCAGTGGGTCTGATTGTAGGTTCAGAGGATAGTGGTACTCAATGTGACATCTATTGGGGATCACTTTGTGAGGGTCACAGCCATTGCTATGGTTTTGTTTTAGAAGTCCTGTATCTTTTCCATTGTTTTGTTGGCTTGGGTTCCATTCTCTTTTGTTTTGTTTGATTATGTCAAATCCAATGGCAGGAGTAGCTATTGCAAAGACAGCATAATATGTTATGGTAGCAATTTTGGGTTTACTATGGTCTTGTTTTGAAGTCCTTTATTGCATTCATTGTTTCTATTCTATTCTGTTCTATTTAATTTTTACTATGTCCAAAGTTATCTGCAGCTATTTTGAAGACTTATCAAAAGGCATTATGGTAACTATTGTTGATTTTTGTAATGTTTTTAGCTCTCTATCTCTAACACTGGTTTGTTTTGATTGGTTTTATTCTGTTTCATCTTCTTTAAAATAAATTTTAAAAATTAAAAAAAGATGAGAATAAGCAGTTTTGCAAAGTTAAGGTGAAAAAAATGAGGATTTTTCATAGAAGATTACACAAGAAAAAAATCAATAAAATACATTACTTAGGAGATGCTTGTCCTCTTGGAAAAACTAAAAGTCATATAGATTCATATCATTTTCACATAATTTTAACAGTTTTAAATTTCCCAGTTCACTTCCAGATACATACCCAGGAAGACAATGCATCTGCTTCAAAGAGAGGTTTGGAATGAATATTTTCATCTTTTCCAATGAACCAAATGACTTTATCATTCTCTGTAGATGTTGAAGGTTTCTGCAGCCAAAAAACCAAAACAAACAAATAAGAAAAACACAAAAGATCAGTTTGCCAGATGTTGTATAATACAGTGATATGTCAGGTTACCTGGAGATGTGCATGGCTGAAATTTTAATTCTCATTTACCTTAAGCATTCAGCAGACATTTTTGAAGACACACACAACAAACACTGACAAATTGTGGAAATAAGGGATTGGGGACAAGAGAACATAGCCATGGAAAAAACAAAGGATTTCTTCCAGAACTCAGGAACTCAAGTATAGAAAATCAGATAATAAAATGAATAGCCATGGTACAACGTAACTACAGTTTGCATAAAAGTGTGTTTCAAGGGTCATGTGTGCCCAGAAAAGGGTGTTACATTCACATAGAAACTCAATTGTTACAGTCAAAATAATATTCAAAGCCTAGATAAGTGTTATCAAACAGAAAGGAAAGGGGCTGAACTAAGTCCATGCATTAATTGTAATAATAACAATGATGATAATATTTTAATTTATTCTGTAAATAAATAGAAAAGTACTTGGCCTCCTATATGCCAGACATTTATCAGAATAAAACAGCGCTTTAGTCAAAAGAGGATTGATTGTATTATAATATCGTGGTCTTGCCTTTGCAACGAGCAGAAGGCCCAGAACAGAGCCTGTAGTTGTGGCATATTTAAACCACACATAGAGGAGGAACCTCAGGCCAGTAAGTCAAAACACTGCAGAGAGTGTAGAGTCATGCGTCTGGAAGCCAAAAAGTAGCAGCCAATCTAGGGACCAGCAAGTACTCTTCTGCAGGCTCATCTGGCTCTGAATGCTGGTTCTACTGCTTAAAGCCATGTGATTCTATCAGTCAGAACTTTATGAGCTTCAGTTTTCCTGTCTACATAGTGAGGATTCTATTGTATAACTTGAAGTTGTTTTGTGTAGATAAGAGATAACATGTAGAGCATTAAAACTCATGATACGCACTGAATTATTGCTAGTTACCGTTGTAGTTTCTAGTACTGTTTTCACTACAAATGCCCAAAAGGGTTGCTCTGACTACCAATGCATCAGCAAGGCTAGAAGAGGTAAGGTGAGGAGAGGTATGAGGGCTTGAGAGGAAGGGAGAAAGCCAGCTGAGCAGTGGAGACAGGGAGTTTAAACTACAGCTTTTAAAGATAGAGACAGAAGCCAGGTGTGGTGGCAGAAGCCTGTAATCTTAGCAGTCGGGCTGAGGCAGCAGGATTGCTACATAGTGGACTCACCTCAGAACAAAACAAAACAGAACAAACAAACAAACAAATGGCATTATAGTGAAAGATTTTGTAGTTAGCAGGATAGGTGTGAATGAAATTCCTTAGAAAGGAAAGGAGACCCATTCCTCTGGGGGGGAAAAATATAACAGTAAGCATGGTATGAATTAAACTTTATAGAGAAAAGAAGGAAGTAGAAGAGTTCACACCAGAACCTACTTCTACTTTCCACAGTACTTATATCTAGTCTTACAAGAGAAAGAAAAAGAAAAAACAATACAAGAGTTTAAGATCATTGCTTCCAGTGGTCAAGGACCCACCCAGCTTCCAGCCACACTTGGCTGAGCTCAGCTGGTTTCACCTGGGCCACACCCAGTGACCTTCTTTCAATCCAAGGAACTCAGCTGTCTTCTGTGGTGAGTTCCTGCACACTATCCTGAGCCCTGGGAGAGTTTAAGATCATTGCTCCCAGTGGTCAAGAACCCACTCAGCTCCCAGCCACATTAGACTAGGCTTGGGAGGTTTTGCGGCCTAACTAGATTACACTCCGTGACCTTCTTCAATCAGGGGAGTTGAGGGCATGTGAAGTGAGTTCCAATGCATTGGTCCTTGCCCAGGGAGAGCTTTGGACCATCATCCATAGTGGTTAGGTGCCTGCCCAGCTTCCTGGAACACTGGAGGTGGCACAGGAGGGCCTGAAAGCCTAACTGGACCACGCACAGCAACCTCCATTCAGTCCCATGAGCCAGGGGCATAGGAGATGATTTCCAACACAAGGCCCAGAGAAAGCCTTGGAATAACACTTGGAACACGGAAATATAGGAAAATGACAAAACAAAAGACCAAAATGCAATCTCAAATCTCCAGCCCATCCCAAGAAAGCCTAGGAGCCATGTACATAGAAGAAAACATATGCCATACATCTGAAATGCCTGAAATAATAGCAACTGCAAATAAAGAAGCAACTCCGGGAAGCTTTAAAGGAATCAAACTAGAAATAATCTCCCAGGTTAAAGAAGAAATGATAAAAGTAATGAAAGAGATGCTGAACACATCTAAAGAAGACACAGTTAAAAAATTAGAGGAACAAAACAAAAAGATAGAATCCCTGGATGAACAATTTAAGAAACAAACAGAATACATAAAGCAGATTCAAAGAGACACACAGGAAATCAAAAATTCTATTGAAAGTTGTCAAAACTGCCTCAATGAAAATGAAAATAGAATTTCAGATCTCGAAGACAAGATTGCAGCTAGTGAACAGGAAAGGAAAGGTCTTTTAAAAATAACAATGAGTCAGGAAATAACAATTCAACAGCTACAAGATGATGCAAAGAAAAACATAAGATTGATAGGGATAAATGAAAAAGAAGGGGACAACACAAATGATACCAAGAGGCTATTTACAGAAGTAATAGCTGAAAATTTCCCAAACATGAGAATGGAAACTGACATTTGGATTGGGTGAAGCATATAGAACTCCAAATAGCCATTAAAAAAATAAAACTACACCCAGACATATAATAATCACCATCCCAGAAATCCAACATAAGAATAGAAAATTAAAAGCTGTTAGAGAGAAAAGACAGATCATCTATAAAGGAAAACCTATCAGAACCACAGCAGACTTCTCAGCACAAACAATGCAGTTAAGAAGACCATGGAGTGAAGTATTCCAGATCCTAAAGAAAAATGATTTCCAACCTAGACTGATGTATCCTGAGAAATTGTCCTTCAAAATTGATGGAGAAATAAGATACTTCCATGACAAAGAAGAGCTGAATAATTTCATGATCACCAAGCCAACCCTGCAAAGAATACTGAAAGACAGTTTAGATACACCTAGGAAAAAAACCACTAAGCAAAGCAGACAATTAAACAGAATGGAAAGATAAAGATGCAATGTCAGAAAGATAACATGTCAAAAATAAACCAATATATAACAGCTATAATCATTAATGTAAATGGTCTCAATTCACCAATTAAATGAAACAGACTGGCAGAATGGATCTAGAAACAACATCCAACCATATGCTGTCTGCAAGAAACCCATCTAACCCAAAAGGAAACTCACAGAATGAAAGTCAAAGGATGGAAAACAATACTTCATGCAACAGGAACAAAAAAAAAAAAAAAGTGGGTGTAGGTATTCTGTTTGCAGACAATGTGAACTTCAAACCAAGAATGAGCCTTTACATTTACTGGTTAGGGGAAAACTTCAAGAAGAAGAGATAACAATCTTAAATATATATGCACCGAATTCCAGAGCACCCAGTTACACAAAGCAAGTATTAATAGAAATGAAAAATAAAATTAGCAATAACACAATTATAGCAGGAGACCTTAACATACTATTGACACCAAGGGACAGATCAACCAGACAGAAAGTCAGCAAAGAAATAACAGAACTGAATCACATCTGTGAACAAATGGACTTGATAGACATATACAGAGTGTTCAATCCAACAACATCAGAGTATACATTCTTCTCAGCAGCACATGGGACATTCTTTAAAATAGATCATATACTTGCTCACAGAACATATTTAAATAAATACAAAATAATTGAAATTATCCCATGCATGTTATCAGATCATAGTGCCACAAGACCAGAAATTAATGATAAAAGAAACTGCAAAACCCTCACAAACACATGGAAATTGAATAACACACTCTTGAGCAATCAGTGGGTTAGATGGGAAATTAAAGAAGAAATTAAACAATACCCACAAGCAAATGAAAATACAAATACAACTTACTGGAATCCATGGGATGCAATGAAAGCAGTTCTCAGAAGAAACTTATTGCCCTGAGTTCCCACATCAGGAAAACAGAATGAATACAAATAAACAACCTGATGCTACACATCAAACATCTAGAAAAAGAAGAGCAAGTCAAGCCCAAAGCCAAAAGAAGAGAGGAAATTATAAAAATCAGAGCAGAAATTAATGCAATAGAGACTAAGAAAACAATCCAAAGAATCAATGAATCAAAGAGTTGGTTCTTTGAAAGAATAAATAAAATTTATCAGCCCCTAGCCAACCTTATTAAAAAAGGAAAGAAAAAGCTCAAATTCATGCAATAAGGAATGAAAAAGGCAAAATCACTAATGTGGAAATACAGAAGATCATCAACACCTATTTCAAAAACCTCTACTCTCATAAGTTCGATAACACAGAAAAAATGGACACATTCTAGAAACATATGAAGTACCAAACCTGGGTCAAGAAGATGTAAACCTGCTGAATAACCCAATTTCTATTAATGAAATGGAAAATGTAATTAAGGCCTTACCTACAAAGAAGAGCCAAGACCCAGACGGATTCACTGTGGAATTCTACAAGAAATACAAAGAAGACTTAATGCCAACACTCCTCAAACTCTTCAATGAAATCTAAAGGGAAGCAATTCTTCCTAAGTCATTCCTGGAAGCAAATATTACTCTAGTACCAAAACCTGAGAAAGACCCAACTAAAAAGAGAACTACAGGCCAATCTCTCTAATGAACACAGATACAAAAATCCTCAATAAAATATTGGCAAACAGGATGCAGCAAATCATCAAGAAGATTATACACCACAACCAAGTGGGATTCATCCCAGGCATGTGGGGACGGTTCAACATACATAAATCAATAAATGTAATTCACCATATCAATAAAGCCAAAAGTAAGAATCACATGGTCATTTCTATAGATGCAGAAAAAGCTTTTGATAAGGTCATTCATGATAAAACACTCATTCATGATAAAAACCTTACAGAAAACTGGAATAGATAGTCTTTATTTCAATATGATAAAGGCCATCTATGACAAACCAACAGCCAGAATCATATTAAATAGCCAAAAACTGAAGGCCTTTACCTTAAAATCAGGCACAAGACAAGGATGTCCCTTATCACCACTCCTATTCAACATAGTACTGAAAACACTAGCCAGAGCAATTAGATAAGAGAGAGAAATAAAAGGGGTAAAGATAGGAAAAGAAGAAGTTAAATTATCATTGTTTGCAGATGACATGATACTCTACATAGAAGATCCCCAAAACTCCATTGAAAGACTCCTAGATATAATAAATAAATTCAGCAATGTAGCTGGATACAAAATCAATACTCAAAAATCAATAGCATTTCTATACACTAACAGCAAAATTGCTGAGAGAGAAATAAAGAGAAGCCACACCCTTCACACTAGCATCCAAAAAAATGAAATACTTAGGAATTAATCTCATGAAGAAGTAAAAGATCTATACAGGGAAAATTACAAAACTCTGAAAAAAGAAATTGAAGAGGATCTCAGAAATTGGAAAGACATCCCTTGCTCATGGATAGGAAGAACATTGTGAAAATGGCCATTCTCCCAAAACTGTTATACAGATTCAATGCAATCCCAATTAAAATACCATCAACATACCTCATTGATCTAGAGAAATCACTCCTAAAATTCATCTGGAACCAGAGGAGACCTAGAATAGCAAAGGCAATTCTAAGCAGCAAAGGCAAGGCAGGAGGCATCACAATCTCTGACTTGAAGTTATACTACAAAGCTACTGTAATAAAATCAACATGGTACTGGAATCAAAACAGATCTGACAATCAATGGAATAGACTAGGAGATACAACCACAACTACCAACACACTGAAAAACCTTATATTTGATAAAGGGGCCTAACATATTCACTGGAAGAATGACAATCTCTTTAATAAATGGTGCTGGAAAAACTGGCTCTCCTTATGCCGAAAACTAAAACTAGACCCATGCCTATCACCATGTACTAAACTAAAATCTAAATTGATCAAAGATCTGAATATTAAAACAGAAACACTAAATCTGTTGGAAGACAAAGTAGGTAAAAATCTTGAAGACATAGGTGTAGGTAGAGAATTCATGAACCGGAATCAAACCACATGGGAACTACTTCCCAGAATCAATGACTGGGATCTCGTCTCCAGCATAGTGAAAAGAAAACCCACAAACTGGGAAAAAAATCTTAGTGAACTGTCCCTCAGACAAAGGACTTCTGTCTAAAATATATAGAGAATTTAAAAAAATCAGACCCCTAAAATTCAAAGTCCCAATCTAAAAATGGGCATCTAAGATGAATACACAGTTCTCAGATGAAGAAATACAAATGGCAAATAAACACATGAAAAAATGTTCAGCATCATTGGTCATTAGAGAAATGCAAATTAAACAACGCTGAGATTCCATCTCACTCCAGAAAGAATGGCCAGGATAAAGAAAACTACCAACAACAAATGCTGGAGAGGCTGCAAGGAAAAAGGAACTCTCCTGCACTGTTGGTGGGAGTGCAGACTGGTGCAACCACTGTGGAGATTCCTCAAAAAGCTGGGATTGGAAGTTCCATTCGACCCAGCTATTCCACTTCTAGGCATATTCCCAGAAGAACTGAAAATATCACACCACAGTGATTTATGTGCACCCATGTTTTTAGCAGCACAATTTGTAATAGCCAGATGTTGGAAACAACCTAAGTGTCCATCAACTGAGGAATGGATAAAAAAGTTATGGTATTTTTATACAATGGAGTACTACTCAGCTATAAAGAATGATCACATTGAGATATTTATAAATAATGGATGCAACTTGAGACCACACTCATAAGAGAAATAAATCAAACTCACATGTATAAATACTGTGTAGTCTCCCTAGTGTAAGAAGTGGTAACAGTACATAAGAGTTTATGGTAATCATGATTCCCCATTACATTGCTTTGAAGCCTTATAATGTTTGCATTCATTAGTTGGAGGGGTTTTATCCTGGTTTGTTTGATTTTATTAACTGTGATAGTATGAACAGCTATTTGAAGAAAACAAGACATTATAATAGCCAGTGCTGATTTTATATCATCTTACTCTGAAGTCCTACCATGCTTTTGTTCTTCTGTTTCCATTGGTTCTATCATATTGTATCTTATTGGATTTTATTATATGTGACAATATAAACAAATTTTCTATGGAAAATGAGATAATATAGTAGCCATTGTGGTTTTCTGTTATTTGGTTCTGAATGCCCTGTAATACTTTCATTTGCTTGAATGGTTTTATACTGTTTCGTTGTTATGTTTGATACTATTGTATATGAAGTTATGCTCAACTATTTCAAAGAAAGAGACACCGTGGTAGTTACTGTTAATTACAGGCTGTCTTGTGGTGAAATACTGTGTTGCTTACATTGTTCTGATCTGATCAGCTTTGTTATGTCCTCTTTTGTCTTAATCTCTTTAAAATAAAAAATAAAAATAAAAATACGACACAAGGCAAGGTCTTGCTATGTTGCCCAGGCTGGTTTCCAGCTCCTGGTCTTAAAGGATCCTCCCACCTCAGCCTCCTAATTAGCTGGAACTACAGTTGTGCACCACTATGCCCAGCACATCATCTTACCTCTTCTGTTTTCTCTTCCTGTTCAAGTTTCTCAACCTCCTTATTTTTCTCGTTATCCTCTTCAGTAGGCTTTTCTATTTCAGGATCGGTTAATATTTTTAGAATGTCCTATATAACGAGACAATATTATAATTATGGTTTGGTATACATTAATAGTAACAACTAGTTCAAACAATATGAAATGAGCAGTAATCCTGCAACTGGGTACTACCATAGTGACAAAAATACAAAGGTTAATAAAAATGGCCCCTGCCCTTAAGAAACTCAAAATTAAAAAAAAAGAAACTCAAAATTTTGAGGATAAGAAAATGTTCTACCCAGGTATTGTGATGCATGCATGTAATCCCAGAACTTGGGAGGCTGAGGCAGGAGGATCTCTGCAAGTTCAAAACCAGCTTGGGTAACATAATGAGTTCAAGGCCAGCCTGCGCTAGATAGCAAGACCTTGTCTGAAAAAATAATATGTTCTGGATATATATAGTTATTTAGTAGAAGCACCCAATCTAAACTAAGAAGAAGATGAGGATAAAAGAAGGGGCTAAGGCAGTCTCCTGGAGGAAATAATATCTGAGAGTTTTCTTGTAGTGTGAGGAAGGGAACGAAGAAGGCACAAAAGCCCAGGCAGGGGATGCTGTGTGTGCCTGGCTGGTTCTGAGAACACAAGCAGTTCAACAGGCCAGAAATTGTGAGGCAAATGGACAGGGATGTACCCACAGAGGAAAAAGACTGACAGCTCTACTGTACATTTCAAAATAGTCACTCCAGCAACGGGAACATAGAGGCAGAGAAAGAAAGGCAGGGGGAAGAAAGCAGGAAGGAAGAGAGGAAGGTGTGAGGGGAGGCGGAGGCGCAGGGGGAGCACAGGGGAGACAAGCAGGGAAAACTCAGGAGATGCTGCAGAGCTAACAACTGGTGGCCGGTCAGAGGGGCAGCGGCAGTCAGGGAGCAGGCGCTTCTAATGACGTGTGGTTTACTGTTTACACACTAGGTGGGTGAGGGTACCACTCTCAGAGGTAATGAGCACAGCGGGATACGCAGGTGGGCACGTTCAGATCAGGGCGTGTGGGTGGAAGTATCACTCAGTACCAAGTGTGTATTTGAGAAAAGACAGAAAAGTTACAGAACTAATTAGCTGAGAAAAGATTCAGACTGCAGCAACTAAGTTCAAACACTCAACGGAAAGGTTTTATAGTAGATTAAATTCAACTGAATAGTAAATTAGTGAACGGGAGATAAGCCAGAAGCAATGCTCTAGGATCAAGATGAAATGGCTTGCGGGATAGATTCTAACACACATTCATCCTGAGTTCCAAAGAAGAAAGAGAAACGAACGGTGGAGGCAATGGATGCAGTGGAGGCGGTAGATGAACCGGCGATGCCGTGTCGCACTATGTTCTCCAAATTCTTATGTTGGAAACTTAACCCTCAACGCAATAATCCTGAGAAATGGAACTTTGTGTCATGAATGATTCATGCTGTGGTTGTGGGAGGGGGTTCGCTCTTCCAGGAGTGAATTCTTGTAAAAGCAGGTTTCCCTCCACCGCACCGCACACGTGTGGATATGTACATGCATTATTTTATCACTCTGCCATTGGATGATGCAACAAGATGCTAGACCTTTGATCTTGGATGCCTTTATAAACTATTCAGTTTAAGTTGTTCTGTTACAGCAGTACAAAACGGACTAAGACAGTTGGTAACAAGAATTTTCCAAATGTAATAGAAAACAGCAAGCAAAAGATTTTTGAAGCCAAAATTCACATTCATATACATCACAGTGATATTGCAAAATGCCAGACCAAAAAAATATCTTAAAAGTTTCCAGAGAGATGTGGATTAACTTTAAAGGAACTGACAACTGGATTCTTCATTGTCAGTTTTATAATAATAATTTCAAGAAAACCATGAAAATAATATCATCAATGTGCTACGAGAACAAGATTGAAATAAGAACTTTTTAAAATTTGAGTGTTCTGCCAACAGATCGTCATTAAACAAAATTCTAAAAGTTGAAGCAAGCCAGGAGTGGTGGCAGCATCTGTAATCCCAGGGAGGATGAGGCAGGAAGACCACTGCAAGTTTGAGGTCATCCTGGTTATACAGCGAGTTCAAAACCAATCTGACATACACAATAAGACCATGTCTCAAAAAACCAAAACAAAGAAAAGTCCTATAATGCTTCCATTCTTTTGATTGGTTTTATACTATTTTGTTATGTTTGATATTATTGTGTGTGAAGGTACGCTCAACTATTTTGAAGAAAACAAGACATTATGGTAGCCACTGTTGATGTCCTGTGGTCTTGTTTTGAAGTCCTGTGTTGCTTGCATCATCCTGTTCTGATTGCTTTGTTCTGTTTTGTTTTGTTTTATTCTCTTAAAATAAAAAAAAAATTTAACCTCTCACCCCCTCCCCAAACCCCTAAAAATTAGGCAGAAGAAAAGTATTCCTACATAGAGGGCTGAGGCTTCTGGGGAATTTTTTAAAATGATAAATCACTCTAATGCCAGCACATTTCTTACAGGTAAATCACTAAAGGCACTCTTGCTCAAGTCAGAAATTCCACAAGGTTGCTTGCTAATCTCTATTACTACTTAACACTGAATTGGAAGAATTATTTGGTACAATTAGTAAGAAAAAGAAATTACAGGTAGCAGAACTGAAAAAAAAAACATAAAACTATCCCTCCTTGTAAATGTTTTGAATAAAGATCTAGACGACCCAAAAGAATCAATTGAAATAAAAACTAAAAACAGATAATTTGGTAAAGTGTCAGCATGTAAGTTAAAATACAGAAATTAATAGGATATATATAAATAGTCACTAATTAGACAATATAACAAAAAAATTTAAATAGCATTTAAAATGGCAAAAATTAAAGTGTTCAGGCATACGCCTAACAAGAAATATGCAAGATGACAAACCACAATATAAAACATTATTTAAAGGCACAAAGTAGACATGTTATGTTCTTGGATAGGAAAATTCAACATCATAAACATTTATGTTCTAAACTAGTATATAAAGTTAATATTATCCTAGTTTTAAAAAATATTTTTCTAGAGTTAGGTTATAAAGCTGTGTAGAAGAATAAGAAGGCAAAAAGGAAGCCAGCTGCAGTGTGCACGTCTGTAATCCCAGCAGCCTGAGGCTGAAGCAAGAGGTCACAAGTTCAAACCCAGCTGGGCAACTTAGCAAAACCTTGTCTCAAAACAGAGGGTTGAGGGCTGGGGCGGGGTTAGAGATGGAAAACAATAGAAAATCCAGAAATACGTTGACTATGGTTGTTATTAAATACTGTAAAATGAAAGATGAATCAGCCTTGTTTACATTAACCCAAAAGACTGAATTAGAATCAGTGCGTAGAAAGATACAAGGAAGCATATTATCTGTAGTTAAAAAAAAAGACGAGAATAATTTCTAATACTTAGCACTCACACACAAAAAATGGACGGCCTATTCTGACAGTAGTTCTTTGTCACTTCAGATATCCAAAGATAGACGTGATTAAAGTGTGGAAGTTACAGTAAGATTCCTATATCAGAATCATGTAACATTGAATTCAATCACCTTAAAAATCACTTTTGTTCTAAAGTTTGTATGATTCTACGTAATTCTTGTATTTTTTTCTTAGATCTGATGTGCAGCCAAAATCGTATCTGTGGTACTCCATCACATTTCTTAAATTATACTGCATCGAAGATCTACAACATTGATGGAATCTTTCAGCAGTTAATTAAAAAATAATTCTAACCAAGATCTGGGTAGCCCAGAAAAATAAGCATTTGTTACGGTGCATATTTTAAAAGATAGTGTTTAAAGGCCCACACATGCACAAATAGCAGCTTTCCCTTCCTTCTCAGATCCAGGAGCACGGCTAGCTACATACTGCCAGTTTTGACAGTAATGAAAACTTCAGAATTTACTGGAGGTGAATGCCCTCAAAATGTCTAAAATAAAAATAAGTTTTGTGACTGCCATTAATTACTTGGTGTTCACTGCTTTGAGATTCTTAGTAAATACGTGGTAGTGAAAACCACAAAACTTATACACTGGCAGGTGGGGTGTACAATAAGCAAGCTAAGGCCAGAATGTCAACATTTAAGACGCTCTAGAGATAGAAGATTAAAAGAAAGAGACCAAATAAAAATAAAGAAGGAAGCTTTGGTTTTGTGAGGAGAGACTGCAAGAGAAGTGAATAATCAGTGAGGGTCAAATGCTTCCGAGAAGCCAAGTGAAATATGGGATTAGAGATACTTGGAGCTGACAATAAGGGACCGCTGGTAACTTTAAAGCAGCTCAGAGTGTTAACAGAAGTGGCTGTGATGGGAAGGAAAGACAGAAAGTGATAGTCCAGGAGACAAGACCAAGGGACATCCTTTTTCGAATGGGAGAAATGAGCATTTTATAGATTATTTTTAGAGTGACATGGAAGACATTAAGGATACAGAAGGGAGCGCACAGAATCTTAGATGGGAAGGCAGACTGGCGCGGAGGAAGGGTTAGCAGGGGGCAGGTTCAGGCTGAGGAAGTAGGGTGCAGCTCCCTCATGAAAGTTCTTCTTTCCTTGTATTGCTGGGTGCAAAATCATCTTCTAACAAAATGAGCAGAAAAAAATCTTTGGGTGGATGATTCCCTTCTCAAGAAGAGAAAAGTTGCAATGCTCTTGCTCAGAACCAAATTTACTTGTTTATTTCTTGGTTTATGTCTTTCTGCGACAGAGTTTTACCATGCAGTGCAGGCTGGCCTTGACCGTGCAGTGAGCCTCCTTCCTCAACCTCCAAGTACTGGGGTTACCGGTGTGTACTGCCACGCCCGGCTAGTGCCAAAATTCTTGTCTGATACAGTAAATGATGAAGATGCAGAATACTGATTGAAGAAAGCTGTTTATATTTACATATTAAAGTATACTAAAGTACATTTGAATCATTACAGATTCTATTTTTTGGTAAATGACATCATGCTAACACATGGAAAATACCTCTTCTTCAAGTAGTTTCTCTTTTTCTTCACTTGTCAATAATTTCATTTTTTTGTCTTTGAGCGCAGAAAGCAGGTGGGAACATGTGTTGATCCACTGATAACATTCTTTCTGAGAAGAGATAAAATCTAATTTCTATTCAGGAAAAAAGTCACATTACACCAAGTCATTTATTAACTCCTTCCTATTCATAAACTACTAAATACAATCCCTTCAGTTAACTTTCTATGAGTTCAGTTCAAAGACTTGTTCTGAACTGATTTACTATCATATGTATAGAAACCTAAATCATATTATCTCAGAGCCAAACAATTTAAGAAACCAAACCCAAATGCTCAGGTTATTGATAAACGAACTGAACCCTGTGGTAGTCAGTTTGCCATGCCTTTCCTCAGAGATGGTTGTTAAACAGTCACCAGCTCACCACTGCAGAGGGGTCACCTAGAGGAAGCCAACAACTTCATTTTTACAAACAGGTGAGGTCAGCTAAGTGTTTATGCAAGAACTCACAACTAATTAGGTGAAGGCAGAACTGAAGCCTAGTGCTTCCATCAGCCTTGTCCAGTCCTCCTGACCACAGTAAGGTGGCACCCGAACCTTTTGAACCCAGAATGGGTAGTCATATTAACAAAGGCTTGGCAAACTTACCTTCACCTAATTAGTTGTGTGTTCTTGAATAAATACTTAGCTGGCCTCATTTGTTTTTAAAATTGAAGTTGTTGGCTTCCTCTAGGTGACCCCTCTGCAGTGGTGAGCTGGTGACTGTTTAACAACCATCTCTGAGGAAAGAGAGAAACCTTGCTTTGTAGTATGTGCTGATGTCCATGGCACAAATACTCCCACTACAATAACTCTGGTGATAGTCATCAATTCTGGGTATTATCACTGGAGGCAGTGTTGGCACAGGGTGCTCTTTTTATGCAATTACAAGCTTCCATTCCATCACTGTGTTTAAGGAACCTTTCAGATATTATTTCATTTTAAATATTTATTCAGAAGTTACTTACAATGGAAATAGACCTAGCTCACAATCTCCCTTATTGACAAGGTTTGAGATCTGGGTTGCAATGTGATAAAGAGCAATAAAGTGCCATTGAAACAAGATGCAGAAGAATTGTTGATTTACTAACAATTAAATGGTTTGTCCTAATATTTTTTCTCCTCAGAGTTAATCCATTATTGTCTAGCTGAATATGCATACTACGAAACAGATTCTGCTCCATTGTCTTATAAATTTCTGAGACACTGGAAATGCTATCATAAAATTTCTGACAGGGTAAAAATCATTAGGACTCTTTTGATGATAGTTTTATAGTGATAAGTTTTATAGAGATGAATAAGTTTTCTACAGAACCAAGCAGGTTTTCCTTCAAAACCCTAAACATCATAAGATTCTGAGTCTGATGTCATGAAGATTCACATACCATAGACTTCGTCTAGGAGGTGAGGAAAGACAGTAATGAATCTAAAATTAAGGAAAGACTTCATGAAATAAAACCCTGATCATAAGGAAGTACTACAAAGAATGAACAACTAGGCTGTCATTGAAAAGCTTTTGCACAGCAAGAGAAACCACCAACAGAATGAAGAGAATGCACAGTATTTAAAAAAGTGCCCGCTGTTCTTCAGACAAAGGACTACTATCTAGAATATATAAAGAACTCAAAAAAACCACATCTCCTGAATTTAAAGACTCAATCCAAAAATAGGCATCTGAGATGAACACATACTTTTCAGATGAAGAAATACAAACAGCATATAAATACATATAAATACAGAAAAAATGTTCAGCATCACTGGTCATTTGAGAGATGCAAATTAAAACAACACAGATTCCATTTCAGCCCAGAAAAATGGCTATTATCAAGAAATCAACTGATAACAAATGGTGGAGGGGTTGTGGAGAAAAAGGAACCCTTCTCCACTGTTGGTGAGAGAGCAGACTGTACAACCACTGGCGAAATCAGTATGGAGATTCCTCAAAAAAACTAGCAGTCCCATTTGTCCCAGTTAATCCCCTTTGAGGTATCTTCCCAGAAGAATTAAAAACATCATACCATAGGGATATATGTATATCCATGTTTATAACAGCACAATTTGTAATAGCTTATTGTGGTTCATTTAAATGCACCCCCAAAGCCTCACGCAGTCACAAAGGCAGCTGAGTCTAGCTTTGTGATTGGCTGGGCCTGGAGGCCTGAGTGTAACGGTTGATGGCAAGGAAAGAGGCGTGCCTTCCTTTTTGCTCTTTTCCCGCTTGTTGCTTGCAGCCACCATGAACAGTTACCCTTTAGCCATCACCCTGCCTTGGAGCCTGATGAGTGTGAACTGAAATCTGTAACCAAAAAACCTTTCCTTCCTTCACTTTGGGTGTCAGGTATTTTGTCTCAACAATGAGAAAAAAGTAAAACACATAGCTAGATCTTGGGAACAACCCAAATGCCCATCAACCAAGGAATGAATAAAAAAGATGTGGTCTTTTTATACAATGGAGTACTACTCAGCCATAAGTAAGGATAAACTTGAGATTTTATAGCTATGAAATGCAACTTGAGACCATACTCGTAAGTGAAATAAATCAGACTCATGTATAAATATCATATTGTCTCCCTAGTATGAGAGAGCTGAAAGAGTAAATAAGATCCAAAATGTACACGAGATATTTATTGTGAATAGAGTATTCAAAGGAAAGAGAAACTAAGATAGGGAAAGGAGAAAAGAAAGATGATAAAAGATAAATATTATTAATATATATGATTACTTATACTAATAATTACTCTTAATTTATTGAAATGAAAAATTTGTGACAATTAAATGCCTATATCTTGTTCTCTGAGTAACTAATTTAAAGTTAATAATACATAATTATTAAACATTGTTATTATCTTATTTTGTTTTGATTTTTGTTTCATTTTTTTTCTCTTTAAAATAAAATTTAAGGGCCAGCGATATAGCTCAATGGCACAAGTGCCTGTCTGGCAAACACAAGGTTGTGAGTTTGTATCCCAGTACCCAAAATAAATAAATAAAATTTAAGGATCAAGAATATCAGTACAGTGCTTGCCTGCAAAGCATGAGGTTGTGAGTTTAATTCTTTATTTATTCCTTATATACATATATATATATGAATACAATTTAATAAATAAAATAAAATAAAGATAACCTTAGTGGTCAGGTATGGTGCATACCTGTAATTCCAGCTGTTGGGAGACTGAGGCAGGAAACCAACATGTTCAAGTCTAGCCTGGGCAACTTAGTGAGATCCTATCTCAAAAGAAAATAAATATAAAAGAACTGGGGCCCAGCTCAGTACTAGAGCAGTAGCATGAAAAAGAGCCTTTTGGAGGAGGAGGAGGAGGAGGAAGAAGAGGGAAGGAGAAGGGGGAGCTTTACTAAGGAGTACTGAGAGACTCCCACAGTAGTAGGAGTAGTGGGGGGCTGCTGAGTCCCCTAAATAAACAGTTTGACAAACTCTGAACGGTCTCAGCTGCAGGATTAAAAACAGCACACACATTGCTTTAGAAAAACTAAAGTCCCAATCATGGAACAAGTTACAGCCTTATTTCTGGTGTGAGAGTAGATTCTCCCCTTCCTCGGAGATAATGTTTTCTTCATTTGTTTATCTGAAATCGCTAAGAAAGGTTAATAAGTGAAAAAAAAAATAACAGAGGGGGGCTTCAAAATGGCGGCTGGCTAGGGGATCGAGCGAAGAGTCTCTCCGGAGAATTCATACTAGAAGCTAAAAAATGACAACATGGAGAGGGCCAGACAAATCGATAGCGATTCTTATTAACCAAGACAGTACAGCTGGAGGATTTAAAGTCGTGCTGAGACCGTGAACGCTGATAACGGGAGGCTGCAAATCCTGCGCCTTTAAATCAACAAACTGACCCGTGGACCCAGCAGGAAAAGCTGAGTTGCTTTTGGGGACTGCGGGAAACTGAGACCCGGGCCGGGACTCCAAGTAGCAGCCAGGACTGCACCGCTGCACCAGAGCAGATGTACAAAGCTCTGGCATTTCAAATCTAAACGATGCACAGATATCTGACCGTTCAGCGCTGTGCCGGGAGCGCACGCTGTGCACCGTTCCGCGCTGTGCCGGGAGTGCGGGAAAGGTGGGCAGCTTGGTGTGCGGTGGTCCCGGAATGAGGACCTGCACCGGACGCTGGTGAGTACTGGGAACCCCGCGGCTGCTGGGGTTGGCCAGAGAGCAGCTGGCCCGCCAACACGGGGAAATCAATAACACAGAATCTGGTGCAGACATTTTAGCCTGGCGGCAGAAACTGCAGCGTGGTGACATCACCAGGTCCCCTTGTAGGGAGGGCTGGTGGAAGACATCTTGAATCCTGGCAGAGCCTGATTACGTGCTGGCTTCAGCTCCACACAGAGAACTTAGTGGGAGACATCTTGGTTTTGGGCGGATCTGCTATTCTGGTGCTCCTGTTACAGAGAGGTTTGGAAGAGAATGGCTGGGATTTGGGCAGAACCCTGTGCCATAGTGACATTACTCAGCTGCTTCTGGTACAAAGAGAACTGGCAGGAGCTACTGGGGCTAAACCAAGCCTCTGCTTGGGGCCCAATAAGCGGATACAAAATAGTCACAACTCAGTGACAACCAGAAAGTACAGCCTAATTTATGAACTAACTGGCACAGAGGCTAGAGACTAGCCTGTACCGCCCCTGCATCCCAGCCTACCCCAGATAACAGTAAATTGGGGAAGACAGCAAAAACTCAAGCCAGCATGCTTCTGAAAGGCCCTAAGCAATTCGGAGAGGGCCAGAGAACTCCAGGACAGTCTGAAAGAAACCAGAAACATGACAAGAGATAAAAATAAAAAGAAATCTCCAGCTGCACAACAGGAGAAAATAAGCCCAGGAGAACTAAACACTGAAGAGAACAAGCACAGTAACCATCCTCTACTCAACACAGCATCAGCCGAAATTAAAAAGTACCTACATGATCTCATAGAGGAATTTAAAGCTGTACTCCTGATTCAAGTGAGGCAAGATATAAAGAGATTAATTAAAGAAATGACAAGCCCAGCCCAAGAGAACACAGATGGAAGAACTGAGGAAATCAGAAAAGAAAGAGAAGCATCTGAAGAAGAATT